AAGCTCCGTAGTCACTGCGGAAGACCCGAGCAGGCACACTGCCAGGATCTGGCAAGGACCCTGTCTCCTTGGTCAATCGCTGGCCTGGCAAGCCAGCTTGGACTCCCAGAGAATATCCCATCAGACGTCTACTGGGCCCGTTCTGCCATCATGAGGTACACCACGCCTTTCGCCCGACATGACCCAGAGGAATCCACGCAGTGTGCCAGCCAGCATTCCCCGGCGACACTGAAGAGCATCATCCGCCGTTCGACATTGGCCTAGAAGACTTCTTCTCCGGCAGCCCCCCGGGCGTACTCCCTTTCGCCCATATACCAAAGTCACCAGGCGGGGCTCCCCGCAAGTTCCATGGCCCACCCCACCTGGTGTGCCGTCGAGCCATGACACCCTGACTCCCGCTAACCCCCTTTCGGGTCCCGCGCAGCTTAACAGGGTTTTTACACACCTGGGTATTCAAGCCCCCCATCCGCAGCTCTGGCTTTCAACTGGATATCACTGGGTCATCTGACTTCATTTCTCCTGGTCCCTCTGCGGGGAATTCTGCAACCCCGTTGACCTCGACTGGGACTGCTCCTGGGCGTTCCACGGCCCTGGCTGCCACCTCTGCTGCCAGGCCGCCCACCACCGGGTGCTTCAAGCACTCTGCAGCTTGGGCTTTTAATCGGCATCACCGGGTCATTGGACCTCATTTCTTCTGGTCCCTCGGAATTCTGCAGTTCCCATTGACCTCGACCGGGAACGCACCCGGGCGTTCTGCCTCTCGCGGCCCCGTCTGCCACCTCTGCTCCGCTCCAGCCTAACGGTCCTTCGCTCAACTACCCACTAATCTATGGGCACCCCGGCTCTTGACTATAGCACCTGCCTACTTCAGTCAATGCAAAGTCATCGTGTCTTTGGTTGAAGATGACACCGATTTTATCGGCGTCCTCACTGCCTATGACATATTCCAGATCCCGAATCCTCCGTCAGCCTCCCTTCCGGAGGAAGACACTGACCACGCCTGTGCCAGTCAACCGACCGCCCCACGTCTTCAGATACTCTTGCTACAGGGCTCCCATTCGTGACGTAGGTTCTTTACCTTAGCGGACTGCTCCCCCTTGTAAGGTCGGAGTGGCCCTGGACAACGTCTCCTTGTCGAGTTCTGCCTTAAAGCAGAACGTCTTGGAGACAACTACTGTGCTAAACACAGTGGAACGCTGTTATAACAGGGTCATTGGAACCTTACAAATTCCTTATGTTATCAGTTACGGAAAATAAATGAATGGAAAAAAAGAAGAAATTCTTTGTCATAAATATGACCTTGTATTATAAATTATAAATATTATAAATGCTCGTCCTGTCTGTCTTTGATTATAACATGTATTGTGAGAGTCTTTCGGGCGGCCTCCTCAATGAACATGAGCCTCTGCCCCATATTTCCAGGCGGCCGTTACATGCAAATGCGACCTTGCTAGTTTTCCAACATGTCTACAGCGTGGGCATCCAGACGTAATCCACATGGCAGCACTTTCTGAGCCATTTTTCCAGATCGTTGCCCCGGTGAGTACGCTGTCGGACGCGGACCCAATCCCGAGTCTCCGTCACAGCCTTCTGGAGCTCCTCTGGCTACCATCGGTAGGCTCTCCCAGGCCACGGAGAAGTGAGTCCACGCTTTACCTGGTGATCTCTAATAACCGCTACAAGTCTAAACCTACCGGCATTCGAGACTATGTTACCAGGCACCAAGACAGGAACGAACAAATAACATTTTCCAGGCAGTTTTCCTATCTTTTTCAATTCTGTCACTTGCGGTAAATTTGTCATCGTGACGCAGACCTACCGCTGCGTCTCTCCAGTCCGCATCCCCAGACATCCGAACCTAACGTTCTTCAAGCCATTGGGATTTTTACACACCCCTTGGCACCCCGTAATTCCGGTTTCCCCAAGGGGCCCTGCGGGAGAAATTTTTTAAATCTATTTCCACAGCGTCTCACGACGTACAATCCTGTGATCAGCAGAACGACCATTTTGTGACCCCCCCTTACGTGGCCCCAAATGAGCACAGATTCTGCTGTGTGGTCCTGCCATAATGCACACTTTGCAAACACGTGTTCACTTCAAAGTGAGCGTGTCCAAAATCTGTTTACTGTGACTGTTACGAGGTCTGTCAAAACGAGGCCTGCTGTGAGTCACCTATTTTGTTGTGATAGTTTAGCGGGCTTTCTCTTCCGATATTAACGCTCAATGTGATCGAAACGAAGAGAGAGAATTCTGTCAGACCCTATTTGTTTCTGAAATGAATACTTTATTAGTGCTTAGCATGACTTCGGACATCGAAATGGTTTTGTTGTGTTTTTTGTCCTCGGAGATTTTCCTTGAGTGGAAATTACTGGCAATATCGCAAACGTCATGCGACCTGACTCCTCTATGCCAGCCATTTATTTTTTACACATGTTTGAAAATGATCAAAGTTTTCCGTGGCAGTCAGGACGCCAGTGGCTACGCTGGGTACGGAACACGGCTTACCTTCAATTTGACATGAACGTCAAATAACTTTACCTGCCTTACACACACCCGTGTCAGGTTGGCCTTTCTCCTGAAAATGGTTATGTCCTGAGGAGGCAGCAAACTATAGGCTCTCCCCATTGCCAAAGGCCATCTATGTTATGTTGGGAGCCGCATGGTGTTCACCTCATTCCTTTGATCGGCTTCCTGACAAAGGATCAGACTCCCTCACCCGATCCGTCCGATATCTTTACACTCTCCGCCTCCTCACATCCTGGGGATGGTGCGGATAAACTTTGGGGGCCTGTTCATGTCATGAAGTGGTACCTGACTAAAAGGATAGTATGAAAGGGATGACATTAATCCCATCGCTTATCACTTTCATGAGACCGCACCGTCCAGCGGTGTCAGTACACTATTGCCTGCTGGACGGCTTCGGCCATTAGACTTGCTTATCCCGTCTGGCCGTTAAGCTCTGATGAATAAAGTCATTACTACATCAGGGTTCATGACGTAAGAGCAGGATCTGCATCTTGGTCTTACTCTTGAGATTTTTGCATTGCAAACATCTGCAAAACGGCATGTTGGAAGTCTCCTCCTACCTCCTGCAACTTGAGGGATGTCCTGCAGAGCGACATCCCAAGTGGCAGGACAATCCTACTGTCCACAGAGCAGAGGTCAAAGAGACCTCCTGAAGGACGGATGGCAAGTCATTAGGAAGTTCCTTAACCATTTCCTAAATTTTTACATTCCTCCTTGTTTATATGTAAAAGTGCATTCTCGGCATTAGATGTGTTGGCACCAACCCTCCACCGAGACTGGTGCTACACTGCATATGAAGTGACTGTTTGGGTTGGTAGAGTGTCGTAGACTCTTTTCCAACATTAAGTTTGGGTCGGGGCTACTAGAGAATACCTACTCAAACAGTCCTCTCCCGCCCGTCCTCCCCACTCTGGCTGCGACCATTTTGAGTCACTTTCGAAAAGAAGGATGATCATGGCGGCAAGGCAGTGCTGCATTTTGGGACGTCAGGGTGCACCACGGGTGATCAAATCTTTTCAGCGAATGAATGATACGCACGTGGGAAACTTGCATATGTAGTGACTGTTTGGGTAGGTATTCTTTAGTAGACCTGACCCACACTTAATGTGGGAAAGGAATTTTTGAAAGGTATACTATTGTGACATCAGAATAATTCGGAACATCTCTCAGCATGGCTATTCAGTTGCACCTATTGAATTCTATTCTTCAACCTGAGTTCAAATGAATTACTTTTGAGTGCATCATCTGACATGCTCTGTTTTCTCTGCTTTGTTCTTTGAATGTGACCAGTAAACAAGCATTGTGTTTGATGATTCATCTTTTGGAATAAACTCATCAAATGACAGGACCGTAATGATATCTCACGTTGTTTACATCTGTTCTTTCCTATAGCAGTGAGGTGGGATATGATGCATTGAGTCCTCATAGCAAAGCGCACATGTATGTAAACAAAGCATGGCATCCATATGTTGTAAGTCTATTGAAGGACAACGTGATCATGCAAAGGCAGTGGTAGTTTTTAATCATCCCTTATAACTTAGGACTCTTTTCAGATAATATTTACAAAGTTAAACAAATTGTGTGCAGAGAAGCATCTCAAGAAATCACATCCTTGATTTCCAGGTCCAGCAGTTGTAACGCTGGAGGCAGTCGGAGATTTGTCACACTTTCACAAACAAGATGAAGTGAGTATACATGTACTCATTACCTTACCTGTTAATTCCGTTCATGGGCACTTTGTTCTGTTATCAAGAATCCATTTAGCTTTCTCTCTTCAGCCTAATATATTATTGCACTGGACAACATCCCTCTTAATGTCTCAAGAGTTGAAAATTAAGTTTGAAGTACAGTAAATTGGAGTAAACTGTTGATGTACAATAATTCACTCCTCAACTACATGTATATTACTCACTGTGGCTAACTGTTAATGTTTGAAAACAAAAATTCTTAAAAATTATAATGTTACTTGTATGTCATTTTTATGTTGGTTTCATCTTGTGTGGTCAGTTTCACAGTTTTTCTATGTATGTGTACTTAGAAAAAAATATTGGAGTAAAGGTGGTTAGAAAGTTTTGAACAAAGTGCTCTAGTCTTAGTTATGGACTTTGATCCTTACAGAGCAAGACAAAGAAAGCCCCTCGGATCGGGTACAGCAAGCCGTCCACCAAACTGCTAGACGAAAAGAAGAAACGACGGCAGCCCAGGCCAGAGAAATCTGAGAAGGAGAAGGAGACCACCAAGCAGTTGCTGGGGGAGCTGTATGCTGACAAGGTCTTCCTGGACAAGCTGCTGAAGGACGACGGTCTGTTGTCTCGGCAATTCCTTTGCAGAATGCAATGAGCAATGATTAGTTTGGCGGAGAAATAAAATCTTTGCATAATGAGACTTAATAATATGGATTTGGTAGTTATTTCTGCATCAATTCAGTAACCTGTAAAACTCAGTGGTTGAAGGATGGGACCTTCAATTGCCACTAGTAAGGTACTTTTTGGTTCATATTCCATCCTAGTGAAAGAATCAATACTTTCCACCATCTCTCAATGAGCATTGAGCCCACCTCTGGAAACTTGATGTCGTTAAAGGATAAAAACCCAATATCAAATTTAACTACATGTATTCCTTAAAACCCAGTATCAAACTTTGCATCATCCTGATGCTCAAAGTCCATCAGAGGTAATTTTGCTGTTTCGAAAAGAAGGAAATTAAAATGTCTGGCTTGTAGTTGCTGCTGCTCGTTTAAAATAAGAAGCTGGTTGGTGTACATTTGCTCTTCTGTTTGGTCATATTTTGGGCAACCAACTGTAAATTTCTGGTATTTTAACCACTGCATGCCAGGATTATTTGTGCTAAAACCCACAATGAGTAAAACATAACCAAGTTTGAAAACGATGTTCAACGCCACATATGCTGGCTCTAGAGAGTCATTTGGACAATATTCATCTAATACTTCTGACTGTAACTTCATATTGTTTAACACCTACTGAAGGCCCTACTTGGACAAGGATATTTGGTGCGATGACAGGCCACGTGGAGCAAGTTTAAGCATAGGCCATCTTCATGGTCTTGCTTGACATTGTGTTTACAAAAGAAAAGGGAAAAAAGGATGTGTATACATGTCAACTCTTACAGTTTTAACCGTCAGCTGCCCCTGTGAGGACACATTGCAGGATCATGTGTAATGTCCTCATGCATGACCTGGTTACGTAGTCACAAGTATGCTCACACATTTCCACACTCCCTTCTGATCAGATTTGACCAGGATAGATACGGACAGCGGCAACCGCATCTATGACCTGGTCAACCAGGGCATCGACTACCTGGACACCCGAACAGAGTTCTGGCGGCAGCAGAAGCCCATGTATGCCCGCAAGAGGGAGAAGGAGATGGCCAAGGGCCAGCAGGACAAGGGCAAGGCCAAGCCCTCCGATCCGGCCAAGTATGTCCTGAAGAACCTGGAGGAGATTGACGCAGGTGGGTGTCCGTAGTCTCAATTGAGTCTGCTACAAGTCCATATCGAAAAGGTCAATCACCAGTCAGAATCAGAGGAATGGTACAACGGAATCAAAGAACGATAAAGAATGCCTTCTTGCTGTCACATTTAAATATTTAAATACCATGTCCCATGACTCGATTTGCTTGTTAAACAACTGTAAGTTTGCACAAAACACTTCTCTTTTTTCAGTGCTAGCACCCTCTTCCAAGCACGTAACAAGATTGTGACCCCTTAAAATAAGATCTGATGTTAGTTTTGGAGAAGGTTGATTTCCAAACATAAGACTTTTCTTTGGTTCTAACCGTTAGTAGTAGCACTCTCTGTGGTGTGCTTTTGTGTCTTTCCCATAATACGGGCGACTCACGATAGTGCGCCACCAAGAGTTTGCAACGCCTTGGCCAATCACAACGCACGAAATTGTCGATCCTTTCCAAACGCGCCTTGGGTTGGCAAATTTCATGCATTGTGATTGGCCAATGCATTGCAAACTTTTGGTGGCGCACTATTGTGAAATGGCCGTATTGTGTTGTGAAAGTGTTGTTTTCAATGTAGAGTCTTATTTTGTGGTAAGTTTTATTTTGTCCTGTGCATATGTTCAGAATATTAAGGTAGCACTGTTCTCTCTTCTAAAACATCTAATCCAATAATAAAAACCGGGCCGTGTGTTTATTATCAGTGATCTTATCTCACCTTTGCAGCCCTTGCTGACGGCAGACCCAAGGAAGCTCTGAAGCAGGCCCAGAAGGTCTTGAAGACGGTGGAGAAGTGGAGGGATGAGGACGTACCCGATAAGCAGGAGTTCCTGTCCAACCTCCACAGCTCCCTGGGCAATGCTTACCTAGACATGGGCAAGATGGGAGAGGCGCTGGAACACCATCGCATCGATCTGCAGATCTCCAAAGAAAAGTAAGTCGGCCTCTCCATATCGCTTGATCAATTCATTAAGCCCGACCTACCACACAAGCTCGGAACAATACACGCACCTCTCCAATGCCACACTTGATGCTCTAGCTGCTGTTATCACAGTAGAATGTCAGTGGGTACATGCTAGACTTTTATTCTGTGTTGTAGGTGTAGATGGTTAGCACATCTGAGTTAGGGGTTCAACATGGGTGGATGTGTTGTACCCTTACTTACCCCTATCTCATTGTCAACAACTGTTTTGTTGTACTGTAGAGGTACCTGTGAATGCTGATCTTGACAAATGGAGTTTGCTCACCAGTAGATTTTGTCGATGACAAATTTGACCATGGTAAAAGTGAGCCTGTGCATTATTTGAAAGGGCTAGGTCATTTGAAAACAAAGCCCCAGATGCAACGCCAGCTCAAAGTTGTTCTGTGCATGTGAGACTGTGTGCAGCTGTGGTGATAGGGCTGACCTCGCGTGTGCTCATCGATCTTCTTGAATGACCGACGACATACTCCAATTGGAATACTGAACTGACTCATTGTCAGGCATTTTCAATAGTCATAGTTCTCACAAATGTGGAACACTTGACATCTTGAATGCAGAAGCAAAGTTTAACCTCAACTCTTTCTCCCATCTCAGTGACTTTGAGGACGGCACCTCCAGGGCACTGGACAACATGGGACGAGTCTACGCCCGCATCGGCAAGTTTGACCAGGCCATCCAGCACTGGAAGGAGAAGCTGCCTCTGGTCAAGTCCACCCTGGAGGCCACCTGGCTGTACCACGAGATCGGCCGCTGCCATCTGGAGCTGGGTAACTACCGAGAGGCCCACGACTTTGGGGAGAAGAGCCTGCAGGCTGCCCAGGATGCTGGAGATGATGTCTGGCAGTTGAACGCTAGCGTTCTCATTGCACAGTCCGAGGGTAAGAAATCTGTTGCCATTGAGTGTATGGGGAAGCAAGGGCTGTGGTAGAGGGAGAAATTATACACAAAAATCATCAGTGTTTGATCCTTATTCTAAATTATTTCTGGTAATGGCACAGAGGATTCCTTAAAAGTTCCCTAGGCACTGTAGCTTGCAAGCCTGAAGAAACTTGTAGAGGGGAGACAGTGAGAAGCATACACTTTTAGAGGTGGGAGGAAAACCGTGGAGGAATATTTCTAGATAAAACTCAGAGAGTCAGGTAGAGATTGAAAACCCAATCTGCGTTTGAACCTAGCTGGGAATTGAACATGTCCTACAGAAGTAGAAGTCGAGGAAAGAAGTGTTATATCAACCTGATTCCTGATCTAATCTGTCGCATATCAAGGTTTTGCTGTTGACATGTACAATATCAGATAAACATGCAGAATGCACTGTCAGTGTAATGCTCTCAGCATTACTGAAAGAAAACATCACTGGTTGTCGAATATTGTTTACTTCATGTCATGTGTTGTTTGAACGGTTTCGCAGAACCCATTCACTTTTGAGCTAGCTTACTTGATGATACATGGTCAGAGAATGTCGGATGAGAGTAACTTCACTCTCTTTCATGGTGGTGTTGATCAATCCATTGATCAGTAGATATAAAAATTACCATACATTCTATTTTTGTTTCTCCTGCTTTGACAACCATTGCCGTGTATTGGAGGTATGGTCAGTTGCAGGTGGCTCTGTTAGGGCTGATGTGGCATGAACCATAAAGCTTTTCCAATCCCTTCAGACTTTTGTTTCTACCAGCACACTTTTCTTTTTGCTTTTATTTTGTGGTTGGGGTATTTGGATGCTTACCCCATAAATGATCCCAATCGCTGCTTTGGTAACCTCTCTTGCAGTGGCATTGAAGTTACGTGTTACTTCACCAAGTACACTCAAAAGTGAAAAACAAGAAACTGGCTGTGAAGAAAATCTTTTTTCCTCATGAGATTAACACCTATGTAGAGAACAATTCAATTTTTTATGAGATTTTGTGTATTAAATCGAACCTTTCTGAATTTATGCATTAATATGAAGAATTTGTTGATGGGGACTTGGCATCTTTTTTATAGAGTGACAATAATTTGATTGTCTTATTGGATCTCAAATTATAATTTTGTTCCTTCTTTTGTAGTCAAGCTTGGAGATCTTCAAGACGCCATTGAGTCCTTCGAGCGTGCCCATGAGATGGCCACGGTGCAAGGTGATGAGCCAGCCCAGCGGGCCATCTCCAAGGCCCTGGAGGAGCTCAATCAGAGGATTGTGCAAGGCATCCGTGATGGGGATAACCGGGAAGCTGGGGATGTGGAGGCGGAGACGGCTCAGGAGAGACAGGAGGAGGTTGATGCAGCTCCGAGGGAGCAAATCGAGGAGGAGAAGGAACCGGAGAAAGTGGAGAAAGTTCCAGGTAGGTGTGAGATTGTTGTCTCCAAAGATGGGGATCAGTTTCGGGCAAAAACTTGATTTTTTTCAGCTGTAGATTGATGAAAAGATGGCAATTGTTGCAAAGCAGCCTGCTACATCAAGTAGGCTCAAAATGAAAAACTAGGAAACTGGTTGTTGAGAAGATCTTTTCCTCATGAGATTAACACCTGTGTAGAGTACAATTCAATTTTTGATGAGATTTTGTACATTAAATCTAACCTTTCTGAATCTACAGTTTGCTTTGTAAGTGCTGTGTGATTTTTCCTTTAATGCCGTGCCACTGGTCCAACATCATATCACAGCCCAAAGCAAAGGCAAAAAATAAATTGCTTGTGTAAATGTACGGTACACAGCAAGGAATCAATGTAACGTTTTATTAAATTGCTGAATTTCAGGGTGCCTTGAAAACGGTAAAGGTCCAAAAGTGCTTTCATTGCCAGCTTTGCAAAATACTCTACTTGAATATCTTGTTGGCAACTGTGCTAACTGATCATTGGCTACGGAAGACGAGGAATATGTATGAACTGTTTTTTTTACTGAAAATAAAAATTGCCCTGTTCAGAGGAGGTGCCTCAACAGGAAGCCCAGGAGGAGATACAGGAGGATGATTATGAGGAGCAGTTTGAGGAAGACGAGGACCAGAAGAGTCAGGGACGGCAGAGTGCCCAAGGTTAGCCATGTCGCACCATCAATCACCACTGCGACCATCCTCATCATCCATGGATCATCCCCTAAGCCTTTCCTTGACCTTTCCCTAAGCCTTTCCGTGGCTGTAGTGCTGGGAACACGTCGTCCTGCAGTCTCTCCATATCTCACGAACCTTCTGATTTTGTGTCCTCCAAATACTTTTTTTTTCAAAACAAAACTTTCTGTGATCTCTTCCTGTAATGGTTCATAGTTACATAAGTCATCGTCAAACTCATCAGTGAATCATTCCCATCAGTTCTGCCTTCACTGTGGTGCTAGGGACATACGCCATCTTGCTGTTTCTGCTCGTCTTGTAATTCTGCTCTTTCCTTTTTCCCCCAAAAATACTACTGCTAAATTAAAACTTCTTGTAATTTCTATCACAATCATACTCTTCTCCACTGATCATTCTCATCAGTTCAGCCGTCATTATGGTGCCAGGGATGTGTCAACTTGTTTTCTTGATTGATTAAATACCAGCTCAGGTACAGTGTTTGGGAGAATGAGGGGGTTTGCAACATCCATAGCCTTCAGCTGCTGACTCAGATCTCCGATTCAAATTCGTTGACTTTGTTCTCAAAGTGCATGAGATACTGGTAGCAGGAGGAGTGATGTAGATTTCCTCATGTCTCGAGGGGGGGGATGTACAGGGAACCCTCCTCGCCCATCTTGTTTACAGCAGTTTCTTGCCTGTAAACATCAACTCCATTTCAAGAAAGCTAGATCTGCCCTGGCAGTGTACTTTTCTCATCTTCAAAAAGTCTTTTTCTTGCATCCTTTCTCCTTCAGTCTGATTACAGATATATCTCCAAATACACAACGTTCGTTGGGTTCTCTGATGAAGCTAATGCATTTAATATAATATGTGACGATAGGAATTATTAAAGAATTTTGAAAAGCAGAATAAAATGATAAATATCCCGGCCCAGCATCATCAACATTGATAACTGCCCCAACAGGAAGTGGTTAATACTTTCTCTGATTCTCACCATCTTTTAGCTTCTCATAAAGTCATCATGGTCATGTACCTGTGTACCAGCAGGTCATAGTTCTGTTGCTTCTTTCTTCTCATGAAACCTGGTTCTTATATCCGAGTGCCATTTGTTCCTTCCACAGCTTTTTTGTGTCATTCGTTTGAAGTCACTCACTTTTTTGTTAAAAAGGTACTAAAAATGATAGAAAATCATGACACCGGCATGACTGTAAACAGTAGACTTCAAACGTTGACCTTTTTTAATAATGATTGTTTAGCTGAGTTGAATAATTTGTCCCAACTCCTCAGAGGTGCCACAGGAAATACAGGCAGAACAGGTGGAGGAACAGCAACAGCCAGAAGAGCAGCAACAAGAGGCAGATATTGTTGATGAAACAGGTACCTGAAAAATGGCTGTCCGGTGGAGGAATCTAACAGAGCTAACAATGTCCAAACCTGAACCAGTCCAGCTGTTTTTTGGACTGAGAAATGTAGGATGTCACAGGACACTCAAGTTGGATCAGTTTGAGTATCACTGGGTGTACGACCTTGAAAGTAGACAGTGTGCAGTACGTAGGAACAGCATGGGGGGAATCAATTTGGTCTGCATTTTATAATTATGTACCTCAGCACTCCAACATATTACCCCTCGCATGGCCAAACCTTTCCAGTTCAGTCCATGTAATTGATGGTCCAACTCCTGTGAGGTACTAAGTCGGTGTCAGCTTAATACTGTACATGTGCACGTCGATTTTATGTATCAGCACTGTGATTGAATAGTAAAGCAGCTGGTTGTTGAAATACAAACACACAAAAGCCGTCCATCTCATGCAAAAAATTGAAACAATACAATGTACAGGACGATGTACATAAAATTAGGCTCGGGGCAAGGCACCAGAAGTTTTTATATTTTGTTGATTTGTTGAATAAAAAGATATAGGTTCTGCATGATTTTCTAGGTTGGGTCAGGTAATTGGAAAAACAGCTATTTTTTTGCTTGCTTGGCCTGATTTTGTTAGTAACAGCTAATGGGGGAAAAAATGGTTGGTTGGGATCAGAACTGATCCTAATTGTAAAATGTCAATATTTAAGGTCAAGATGTTAAGTCAACATCTTCCGGAGAGAAGCAGGAGGTTGAACCGACAGAAGACATTCCCACTGAAATAGAGGGACAGGAAGGCAATGCCACTGCTGAGACTCACCCTGAGCAGGAGGTTGAGGATGTAACAAAAGACAGTGATGTTGAGAAAAAAAGCGGTGAGCATGGGACAGGCTCCACACTATATGGTATCCAGCAGCACTCCATATCATCTGCACTGCTTGGTGGAAAGGGTGTCTGACTCCATGCTCATATATAAATCATCCACACAAAACAAAATCTTTTTAACATTGCAAATTATTCTGCTTCTTTTACTTTTTGTTTAGATTTAGTAAACAAGGCCAAGTCATGCTGTAGAAATATTAACTCTAATTCCTTAGGCAGCTCACACGCATCCTTCAAAATCCTTCATTGTGTGGGAGACTAGTGTCCTGTGCACAATAAAAATGACCCGACGCCTTCCTTAGTCCTACAAAATCATTGAGTCTTCTTGAATCTCCCGTTGGACTTCAAAGGAAGGGTTAAAGTTAGAGGAGAATGTAAAGTTAAGCATACAGTAACTCAAGGGTTACTTCAAGGTTTTCCCAAGTTTCTAGTTTTCCTTTTAAAATCTCGAGTCACAGCCTGTTCACTTTTGCATTCCTTCAAATTTACAGGTTTCATTTAACTACTATTCAGTTCATGCCAAAACTATAAACTGATAATGAAGCTTTCTTCTTGCGTCTCTCTGCAAAGCTAAAATGAAGGACAAACTAACTCAAATAACAAATATAAAAGGTCATATTTTGAAAGCTCGGAGCAAGGTTTTCACTAACCCAATGGTATATTGGAAGTACTTGTTTTTTTATTTGCCATGAAGCTGTTGCAAGTGTTTTGTGGTCGGTAAACGTTCATTTTCTGTGATCTATTGCAGGGTACATATTTCATAGATTATTGAAAGAAAAGACACATTGAGCACACAACATACATGTACCTGCACATCATAGAATGCGTCACACTTGTATGGTCACCTCATATCTTGGCATATCTTTGCTTTTGAAAATCATTCACCTATCAGTTTTGTGCTTTTCATTGTTTTGGCAAATGCAAAGATGATTTCTTATTCCTCATTTTTCATCGATGCATACCATCGTGAATTGCATCCGCCTTGCTTTACCCAACCAGCCTTGCACGCAGAAAAGCAGCTAGCATTGAGTAGCAGTTCATAATCATAGGCTTTGTTTCCAATTGAAAGATTTCTACGCCATGTTTGCGGGACCCAGTTTAGAAAGTTTCTGCCAACAGAGCCACGCTCATTCAATGCACGTTTGAGCATTATAAAGTATACTTAAGAGCCTAACTTCTGAGATGTTGATTCCATCAATTAAAGCTCCTTGGGCCACAGAGTGCCACAAAGCTGCCTAAGAACATATTTTCTGAGCAGACTTAGGTTTCCGAAACCAAGTCACGTATTCAGACTTCTTCCTACATCCAGAATTCTTCAGCTGGTGTTTTTTTGGCAAGGTACATCACTTTGCTATAAAGTGATAGTTTCTGAATCCTGTTAAGTAATCACAGCTCAATTTTGGGCCTTGGCCTGAGGCAGGTTGTGCCATTCATTTTTTTACTCAAATTCATGCTTGAAAGTTGTATGTACCTGTTGTCACTGGTCTTTTTTTACCTTGTGTTTGTAATGTAATTACTGTGTGTTCACACTATGATAAATACTTCTATAAAGATGTTTTTGACTTATAAATTGGCATACATACAACAGTAATTTACTACTCTTAAGGTCTGCATGTAGTTCTCATGTTTGTTAATGGCTCATATATTTGCTAACACCAGTGTGTTTAATCTTGCAATTGTTTTTCCATCCAGCAATCATTTGTAACAGGAAAAGCAAGCCATCTTTCACAGCTTCCAGCAAGACTCTTGTTGACGCTTATTTTTCCCACTTTTGTGTGTGTCATTGCCCATATAGCTAAGGCAATTGTGTTCAGATTTACATTTCTGCCTCTGGTGTAGCCATTGCAGCATTGCATCTTCCTTTTTCTCCTGAATTTTGTCAAATCTGTGTCCATGTATCTGTGCCGTTCAGATTTTATTGAGCCTTGTGTAGGCACCACAGAAATATAAGTATATAGCGTAGACCACCAGACCTTAATTCGAAACCACAACTGTGCACCCACAAAAGTTTCATCTGCAAATTTTGTCCAGCGTTTTATTGCTACAGGAGTGTAAATTTTGTTCAGCCAGATGTGGCCCACTGTAGCACATCATTTGGTGAGCCCCATCTTGGAATTGGAGAAGCTGAAAAGTTTCTTGGCAGTGCTGTAGTCTTGCTCATCATAAGTTCCTGCACATCCATCAAAAGTGGTCCAGTCTTAAGCCGAGTCACAAGTTACTCAGATAAGCCGAGATGCAAGCATTCCTCTGTCCTGTGACGGGCTCAATGGCAGCACTGTTGCTTGGTCAAAAATACTTCTGACTCGCATGAAATTTGTTTTGTCGTTTTGTTGGAACTCAGACGAAGCCAAGGTGGTGGAAGATGAAGACACTGGAGTGCAGAGAGAAGGAAGGGACGAGGGCTTGAAAGATGCAAAGAAGAGAGAGCGTCGTGGCTCTGGGTCTTCCACAGCATCGTCTGTGTCGTCTAAATCATCCAAATCCTCCAAGTCCTCCAAGTCGTCCAAATCCTCCAAATCTAACAAGAGCGATTAGCAGTGACGTCCATCCACAAATGTGCCCAGTTTTGTACTGTAAAAATATATTCCTTTTTATGGAGTGGCACTGGTGTTCACAGCGTGTACATAGATGTTTTTGTATGTTTAAAGAATTTGGTCAGAGATCATGTACCAGGGCTGGGTTCATAACGATATCCCTGTGAATTACATTGGGATCATTATTAGATTGTACCCTGTTCGGTTATTCAGCAATGAGCAGTGTGGAAGTCAAAGCAATAACCCACACTTTCAGAACCCAGCGATTTTAGAGCTTGACAGAAGAAAGCATGATGCATGATGGCCTCAAAATGGAGCATTGAAAATGTTCAATTTCTTGATCACAACTGGGTCTATTTGAGTATAAAGAATTTCAGGAACACGCTCAAGAACATCAAGTCGGTTTATGTGCATGCACTGAAAATGTAAAAAAGTCGTCACTGTATTCAGTTTATTGTATTGCTTAAATTCCTTCTATTTCATATGTAACAAGTCTTCATTGTACATTGACAATATACCTATGCCTAAACAGTTTGTTGTCCTGCCCTTTTCAGAGCATGATAAACACTGCTCATTGCATTCTAAATGAAGAATTTGCGACAGCTGTGGTAATTTCTTGTCAAAGTCTAAAGTAACTTATCTGTATGATAATTACACTGAAATTGTGTGTCTTCTGCAAGATTATCTCGGTTGACACAGGTGACTTAAAACCATTTTTTTCCCCAGCTATGTTCGATGAACATGGTTCTTTAATGTCAATAACAGTGATTTCAATCAAACGCAGAGTTGAAATACTTCATCTATATTGCTTTCATCGTAACCTTTTTCTGAATGTACAAATGCCTGCAATTGAAAAAAACAAGAGTCATTCACAAATTTATGATCAATGTTTTATGAATGAATATTCAAAACTGCTTTGATTGCAGGTGGATGGAAAAATGTGATTAATGCAACACAAATTCATTCAGTTCCAAGTTTTTCTCACATACATGCAAACTTTAAATACTTTTAGATTCATCCATGCTCCAATGCCTTGGAGGTACATTTCAGTTGCTTTTTGTGTTAAAAACTACAGATGAATTTGAGTACTGGCAGCTTGGGACTCCACTGTAAACTTCGAGAGAATGCCGTCCACTAGAACATACATATGTGTGAAAAAAAAGGTGTACCTGTATATTGAGTAAATTTTCAGAATAAAATTCCTTCTCGTGTACATTGAGCAGTTGTTTTCCCTTTCGTTTTTCTTTTGCGATTAAAACAGTATCCTGCAATTTCTTTATGAGCACAGGCCCATTTTTGTCTAAAATGTAAAAATGGTAGAAATGTGTTACTTTAAACAGGTATTTTAACCATCAATTTACATCTGTTCCAATCATCTACAGGTGTCTGAGTTGATTAAACAATTTCATATAATATTGCAGAAAGACATACATGAATATGCTAGTTTTGGCAAAGCATGAATTGAGGTACAGAACTGCCATGTCTTATTGGAAATACTTCAATGGCAAAAATGTGGAAGATTTCACAATCAAGTTAGGCTTCATCCTGAGACACACCTACACTACTCAAAAAAAGTTACGCACCAATTTTTTGTTAACTTATAATTTTTTTCCAAGCACTGAGTGGGGTCTAGTTCTTGCATTTTTTGTCTAGATGGTGTTCTCATTGGAATAGAAAATCAAACAAGTGTTTCAAAACATCAAATGTACATTTTCAGCAGAAAAATATCTCATGTAAAAGAAGTATACACAAAGTAAAAGTGGTCCTGAACTTCCTTTGAGTAGTGAATTTTCGGCACTCTTATCTCAAGATTGGCTTTTTCCAGCAATCTGCTACTGTAAGTCAATCACAAACCATAACCCTTGGCACTCTACTTGATGGAACCTTGCACCAACTATTTCAAAATGTTTGATGTATTTTTTCGCTGCAGATTGGAGAAATATTGCACCTTTTTAAATAGTTGAAAAAACCTGTTGATAATCTGTTATGGATGCCTAATTATGCTTTACCTTTTGCCCAAATTGCTACAAAAAAGGAAGAAAGAATAAGGCTATCCGTTTCCTCTTTTCTGGGTATAAAGGACCATTTTCCAGTACTGGACATGTTGGAGAAATTTTTCGTCCTTTTTTAACATGCATTGTCCGCCTGCCAGAAGTGTGGCCTCACAGAACCACTCATTCAACAGAATCACAGCAAAACCTTTAAATTACAATTATCTTACTGCTGGAATGTCCACAAATTTTTCAGTAGAATTAGAAAGCTGCACCTTTGCATTATTTTCTGCACTTCTCTGATTACGAAATGGCTGAGGATACGTCTCTCTGCATTTTACATCCAACACCTTTTTTTCTGTTAAGAGTCCTGATTTCATTTCAGTGCAAACATTTCTTAAAGCTCTGGATGTTTCAGATAGAATCATATTTTGCCAAAACAAGATATCCACTTAAAATTCATATAAAAAGTACAGATGTACGACTTCATATAATTTGACCAGCACACTTTGGCAATCATTGCACTTACCCTAATTTATAAAGATCCAACACACCCGCATTAGATATCAATTTCAAGTCTCTACCTCCAGAAGACACATGGTTTTCTGTGAGAAGTCTGTTGAATATTCATACATAAATGGTTGCCAAACTCAGTGGAAGCTGTTGGGGATGCTTTCATCTTGCAGTAGCCAGGACGGTGCCATGCTACCTCCAGATAGGGAACAGCTTTGCAAAGGACTGAAACAAAAGATGAGGTGATCAGGGAATTCCTTTAGAAAAAAAACTACAACACCCTGACAAAAACGAAACAAACCCATACAACCTATGGCGTCTCTACTGGGTTAATCAAGCAAAAACAATCGGTACTACTAATAGCCTGCTGAAGATCATAGTCGGACTCACAAGCCCGCACCCAATTTAACAGCGCAGGTGAACAACTGATTTTGAGACCGTTGAGCAGTAAACAGCGAAAGATTATTTAACTCCAGAGGAAAAATCTGTCGGGATGCCTTATAAAATGACAACTGACTGCTTTATCCTGACTGCTTTGGCCTCCCTTAGTAATCGATGAAGCATTTTACTTTGCCATGTCTTCACCTACGGAAGAGTACAATGCTCTGAAAGCCATCAAGGGAGGCGACATGTAGTTTTACTCCAGCACTCGAAGCCATTAGTATTTGGGTGCCATAGACAGCACAATTGTCACACTAGAGTATTGCAGTGTGTGCGTCACACGCGCACATTGATGTCTGTTAATGACATCAGCATGAGAGCCAGTGTGCGAACCAACACTGATGCGTACTCCATTCCTTTGTACTACTATGCTTCCTGGTTCACAATGACTTCACGCTTCGGTACTCTATAAGCAGAACATCACAAAGTGACTTTGCACAGAAGATTTGCTAAAATATTTGCCACGCAAAAACCATCCTCCAGTCAAATTTTCATGCAAGTTATATGATCTGCCAATGGTTTTAGCCAATGTCTGCTTGGCATAAACACTTGCCTCAAAAATGTTTTTCACTGAGCAGAAATGGAAAAAGGTGTCTGGAGTTTTGAATGTCTGGAATGAAGTCTCGCATCTTAACAGTGGAAACTTTGTGAGTTCAATGTCTAAAATCCACCGCTCAAGCCAAACAAATTTCTATCTGCCCATTTACCTGAATGTCATTGGTATTGGTGGATGTAACACTGTACTCTAAGTTGACTCTCATATGCCGCCGCCAGACTTTGTTCCTTTGAATTATTACAGCTCCTTCGATTCTGTCTCCTTGTTCTACAGTGATCGGTGAATCCATCATGAACAAGGTGTGTTTCCAATGTGTCAGCCTTGGGGATAAAATGAAATGTGCACAACAACATGAACCAGATCGCATGAAAACCCATGTGTTTTGAAAGCACAACACTCAAACTGTCAGCGGATCAAGAAACAGGTTTTGCATGAGAAAAATATGTCCATATTGGAGGTAGAGGACAGTTATGGTTAAGACTGATTTAATATTCAGATGGAAGACATGCTACTAAGCAGCATCGATTTATCAATATTAGCTATATGGGTTTGAAATCCATATCACAGTTGTTAGTTATTTAGTAATATCGATACATCAAAAATATCGGATTTTGGAGACATCTCGAAAATATCGCTGCTGAGGAACGAACTTCATTAAAAAAATCTGAAAGTGCATCGTCACATTACTGCAATTTTCGATAAGCCATGGCTTACGTTGGTTGTCACACTGAGTGAAAAATATCCCTGTAGCTTATACTCCAGGGAGCTTATACAGCAACATTTGAAGAACAAATGCAGCCACCTATCTCAGTCTTGCACTCAATAATTTCGTATACACTGTGCTGCCACAATATCACAAAATTTACCCTCCAAAGCAGAGAATTATTTGATCACCAAACGTACGTAGACTAGAACCATGTGCTGATGATATCGCCATGCACGGCAGTGTGTATCCTATCCCATGTAGGTAACGTGCGCAACATGGAAGCAGAACATGTCACCAAAGTGAATTGGATCGCACCACTTCGGTGTGGGGGTTTACCCTTAGAACAATTTACCAGCAATTCATGCCTGTTATTATACCTTGAAAATTAAAATGAATGAAATGCGATACATTGATAATATTGATATAAAAAACTGATATATTGTATCAGCCGAAATACGATATTGACGGTGCCTACATGCTACTTGAACATGGAATTTTTCCCCATTTGGTCGTACTGGTACTTCAGAGTCAAAAATACTTCAGAGTTAAAACTACTCTGTTAAATTACTCTGAAAAAAAGCCATATTTTCAAGTGTTAGGCACGAGCCAGGGGAAAGAAGCAATCAGATCAGGAAAAAACGACAGCATCAATCATAAGACTTTTCTTTCCATGTGGAAGTTAACATTATGTCTATGAGTGTCCTAAATATTACCAAGTATCCATGCTGGGGAAAGCACCCTGATCCTCGAGGTTTACTTTGATTAATTTGAATACAAAATACCCTGCATTCAATAAAAATTAAACCTGATCTTCAAAACAGGATTATGCTCACAAATAATGGCAAAATTAGAAGATGAAAGTTCCATTATGAAAACTAGGAGCAGATTACCGATCTTAAAATCTCATGACTTGCAGCTACAAGTGTCTGTGAATGACTTACGGGTAGTCTGGCCCAGTGTTGAGGGAAATGCAGGGCTTGGAGTTGTTAGACGGGTAGCCGGCAAAGTCCACTTGGAACCAGGAGGCAAAACCGTGCAGGGTACCAGCCTTGCTCACTGTGTAATTAAATTGATGTGTGACTTCCTGGAAATTTTAAGAAAAAAAGAAAAGCGAAAGATCACTGCGAATGCTCAGTGCTTTGACAGAGACTTCATGTGAAAAACTCAACATAAAGGTGTCAGGTCTGACCCCGGCAAGTGGCTGAGAAATCCGCACTTCATGACGTTTTTTCTTATCGGCTCTCTGACAACCACAGAATACAAGAGTTATTTAGATTTATCTGTGGACCACAAAAAACCAAAAGTTGATTTATGTTTCTCAAACACAACCCCCCCCCCAGTTTGGGTTCATTGGTCAATTACTGGGAACGGACCCATAAGACTGTCTGAATGCCACACCTTGGATGAAAGCAAACACGAATACACACTTGTGACATCTGATCACATCGATATACAGTATGCGTCCTGTGAGTTTGTAAGAGTGGGACACATTTCCACTCGAGCGAAGTTTGCTGTCACTGTTTAATGACATCAACTAAGCTCCACTGTCACTTGGGGGTATGAGCAAGCATTTCAGTGGGAAAAAAACAAAGAAGCTCTTGCCTCTAATTCGCTTCCGGTGACCGTCTTCATGTCAAGTTGTAATATTCGTTGGGGCAGTGATAGGCAGTCTTCCTGTTTCATGATGTGATTGTACAATGGTGTGTGGAAAAACTCTTCCTTTGCAAGTGGTCTGAAGAAAAGGACAAAAGCATGTCTTCTACCGTGGATTTTTATCACCGCAAGTGAGAAAAGATGAAAATTTGAATTTAACCTGTGATAAGCTGGTCTCTAGAACAGTACCAACCCAGAAGGGTTGCTGACTCTTCAGAGGCAGAGCTGATGAGGATAAGATAGGGTGTCTTGGGTGTCTTGCATATATGGGTATGCAGATATATCAAAGGAATACGGCATTAAATGTACGTTATAAGGTGAAATGAAGACTACACAAAGTCTTAGTAGCCAGCACTGTAGTTGAGTCCATCACGAATCCCAGCAAGTCCATCACACATTATCCAGTCTTGAGCTAAGCCACATCTTATTGACATAAAATCTGACACAAGCATTCCTTCGTCACTGCTGAACTTTTTACTTGTGACTGGGCTTTTGAAAGGATTTGTGGACATGACTACAACATCCCTTGTCTTTCAGACAAGTAGGCTTAAGTGAAAACTTCCAACACTTCAATTTGGAGACCTACAATGTACATTTTCTGTAAGCCCAAATCAACAGATTGGCTATTAAAGCCAACCAGCCTAAACTTGGAGTTAAATAAACAAGTCAAAAATATTTAGATCAACAAGAAATTTGGCTCACACTAAAGATGAGAAATCAAAGCCATGAACAGATTCCCAGAATCCAACTTTGCTCTGGTAGAGTTCCTCGGCAGAGCAAGGCACAAAGTATAAAGCGGCATGGGAGGGCCATATGACGCCGTCTTCCTTCAACCATCGGTCGCGGGCTAAGATGACAGACTCAATCATCCACTCAAACTGTCCCAAGAGGAAAAAGGGTAGAAAAAAACAGGATGGGGGAAGTCACAGTCTGAATGGATGGATTGGGAAATGAGTCAAAGGTCAATGGTTATCAGGGCAAAGGGCAAGGGTTTAAAGCTTAAACTTTTGTGTGGGGAGGACAGGTGGATAGGAGAAGTAAACGGCCCCATTGCAACGGGGCTATGGAGGCATCAAGAAATAACAATGATTGGCTTAAATATCATGCACAAGCTAACGCAAAAAAGGACACCAAGAAATCAAACTCAGCATTTATCAACCTTTCGGTCAAGTTATGGTGAGAATTTTTAAGTTCATCAACATGGTAAGTGAAGTGTTTCAGTTTTGGTTACTGAGACTTGCTGTATGCGCTGAAACCAGTTAACACTAGACAAAAGTTGGCCAGTGATATAAAATGATGTGGGTCATTGAACTTCACTGCACCGGTTGTGTAATACTTCAATTTAGTGAAGTACCTATAGTCTTGTGAAAATTTCCTAATATAGTCAACCATGAATGCTGCCATAAACTCCAGAGTAGGTGGAATAATTTGTCATATTTTTGTCTCATGAAATCCAGTGTGAACGTACTGTCCCACTCACACTCTGACAACGACTGGTAAGACCCCGTTATGTTGTTAAATTTCCTTAAAATATGGCCAGGGTGGGGTGAAACTTGGAAAATTGGGCAAAACATTTATCTTTCAAGCTTGTTCTAGATTGTTACTGTGTTGCCAGCATGTGTACTAGGTTCGCATTAAGTTCTCGACATGATTAACCCGAGTGTGAGTCCTAACTCTACTAGGATGCAATAGGATCATTCCACAATTTAAAAGACTTCAATATAATTGCACTATGACCTAAAACATCATGGTCCGATGGAAATACATGTACTGGTTGATAAGCCTGTTCGATATTCAGTTCTTTTCATATTGCGATATCATGAAAAAATATCACGATATCCGATATTTTCGTAATGATGTCATTTCCCATTCATACAATAAACACGACCGAAATCACCATGTCTCGAGTGCCACGTAAAAAAACACCAAAAAACAAAACAAAACATTTCTGCATTTAGAACTCTTATATGCTGGTGGAAAGCAAATTTCAACATGGAAATTGTGGACATTAAATTATCATATATTGTATCATGTTACTGTACGGAAAAAGCCATTTCCTCGCACACATTAGCAGTAAAGTTCGCTTAAAACGGCAACCCCCGAAATGGACAGAGCACATGTGTGTTACTAGAGGAGCTACTGGTATTGATGCCCTCACCTCATTTCTAAGTCATCATTTATTTCTCATAAGTCGGCATGTTTCACTTGGTCCCTTTTCTACAAGACCACAAGAATCCATGTAAGTTGGCAATAAAAATATAGCATTTCGGTATCGGTTTCCTTCGCCGTGGTTGCCTAGAAGCGTCAGGCGACAAACCCCACACTGCTTGACTGATCCATGCACATGGTTGAGTACATCAATACCAGGAACCACTCTCGGGCTACAAGCATGTGCTCTGTCCATTTTGGGGGTCACCTTATTGAATGAACTTAACATGTAGGCCGTTTTCCAATACTCGACTTTGTCTCAGTTCAGGCTTCACCTGTTTTTTTTACTACCTGACTTTGAAGTTGTAAGTGCAATAGCAAGTTTGATAGTGGCACAAAACATCAAGTAAGATGCAAAAGAGCCAAACATTACAGTACTTCAATTTAATTGAAACGCAGCAGGCCCACAATTGGGAGTTTGTTTTGGAGATGGAGGCTGAGATGGAGACGAAGTTGAGTATTGCAAAACGGCCGTGTACGTGTGTAGCACGTGGGTACAGTATGCCAATCTCGGGTCCCGAGTGCGATAATTTTTGGCATATCGATTTGCAGGATATCCCGATATGTGTTTTTACGAATGATACAATATCCAATATCAACATCATATTGTAATATCATGAAATATCGTCATATCGAACAGGCTAACTGGTTGCTGAGTGCATAACATTTCTAATCAGTTTCTTTCCAAATTGGTTAAAACAGTGCACCTCATCAATTATCAGATTGGAACGGCAACACTTCTTCCTGATTGAGCTAAGCTTGTACCACGTCTATAAAGATCCCACTATGATGCTGATTGCTGATGTGCCAAGACTATATGTATGCCATCTGTGCTAGGTTATTAATACGCTGTTATTGCAATTTGAAGCCACTACGACCCTGCTACATAAATTTTGAACATCCTTAAAATGTTGGTACGACCTCCCCGTCCATGAAGACCCTACGACGTTGCTATCAGTTCCCATCGAGTTCTTACTATGATGTACATGATCTCACCACGATTGGTCACACTCTCCCGGTTGAGAATGTAGTAAGATCGTGTCTTAGATTTTAGCCCACAAAATTCCTGTGTTGAGATGGAGTAAGTGGCATTGTCTCACCAGCAGGAATGTTCCCATCCACTCTGAGACGATCAAATCCACTTGTTGTGGGAGCTCTACCGACTCCACCTTTCCCTCCAGTACGTGAATGGAGTCGGACATACCGTTGGCATCAACAAGAGCTTGGGTTTGCTTGGCAAACTCGCTTGCTTCCACAGCAAAGACCTACAAATCAATTCATCAGATGAAATTCTGCTCGTACTTGGGTTGCCAGTAAACAGCTTTGCTAACCATTTTTCAAAATCTGCGGTTTATCAAAACCTGTAGCAAACAGCAATGGCACTGAAAGTGTACAATCACAAACTAAAAAAATAAGACTAAGACACAAGAACTAAAAAAAGTAGCCGAGGGATAGGCGGATAAATTGATATATATTCCAAAGGAATATGAGCAACGGCCGGAATTATGGGATCTTCTGTCCTCGGTAGTATGGCACTGTGGCATCTGACAATGAGAAGTAACGATATGCTTCAAGCGGTTTGGCCCAAAATCAACCTTGAAACTCTGCTCTAAGTTAATGTATTCATCCACAATAACTTACAATTCGATCTGGCATGTTACCTGAGCTGCTTGGCCTTGCTTGACTGCAAACATGCTGAGAATTCCTGTACCACAGCCAATGTCCAAGACGACCTGAAAACATAAAACCCTCTTAGCTTCTGGACTCAATGGAACCAAACAAGTTTTGTTCTTGCATGAAGAAAATGACTCATAAATACCAGAGAAAATATCAAGTCCTCAGTTCTATCACAAGGCCTTTACATGTGACCCACAGTGAATAACCAGGTCAAGTCCTCAGTTCTATCGCAAGGCTCTTACATGTGACCCACAGTGAATAACGAGATCAAGTCCTCAGTTCTATCGCAAGGCTCTTACATGTGACCCACAGTGCATAACCAGGTCAAGCCCTCAGTTCTATCACAAGGCTTTTACAAGTGACCCACAATGAATAACCCGGTCAAGTCCCGAGTTCTTTCACAAGGACTTTACATGTGACCCACAGTGAATAACAAGGTCAAGTCCTGGGTTCTATCACAAGGCCTTTACATGTTTATACCCACAGTGCATAACAAGGTCAAGTCCTGAGTTCTATCAAAAGGCCTTTACATGTGACCAACAGTGAATTACCAGGTCAAGTCCTCAGTTCTATCACATGGCCTTTACATGTTACCCACAGTGCATAACCAGGTTGAAGTTGATATTTGTGACGAAGCCTCTTCCATTGCTAAGTTTCATTCTTCAAAGTGATCCATCATCAAAATTTCAGCAAAGAGTCTTGGCACTGTTTCCGTGTATTTCTGAAATCACTTTGCCAAAAAACAGCTCATGTAATTCTGTGACCTTGCTTTAAAATGATGGGTACCAAAATGTGATACTTGTGACTTGAACACGCTGGAGTGGAGAAGCAGAAAACACAAAACTGGGTTAGTTTTCCTTGTCACTGTCCTTGCATTCTCCTGATGATAATGAATAAGTATCTTTATTTGTCACCACAACCTCTTCACTCGTGTCAAGTCCTATACATGCATATCTACAATATATGCTTTTTTTCCGAACAGTTTTTATGTAAAATTAAAAATGTGCCAGTGAGAATGTGGAGGACCGAGGGTGTATTCGGACATTGCACTTGGTGTCTGCATCGATATTAAAATATTCACAATACAGCCCACCCCTGAAGTTTATTTCCCGAAGGATTTATTTCCTCCTGCTCTGAGTGGATGCATTTCCGACGATGCGAGACCACGCCTGGTTACACATCGTGTGTTTTGATATTTTCCTCTCCCAACTTCCTCCACGCAATCTGCTAGTAAGGTGTACACTACAAGTTCAGCAATGCTTTGCAAGTTCATCCAATCTGGGCCACATAATTTGCTCAAATTTTCTTCGAATGTTAGTCTCTTCCTGCTCTGCACAAGCACTTGATCCGATGATTTCAGGCCTCGTCCATTTTTTATCTTTTATGTGGTATTTCTGTGGAATGTAACGTACCATTTTTATGAGATCACTTCCCTCCCCATCCATAATTACTCATGATCTGGTAATACAACGGTGCATACACCTTGCCAACGAATATAATGTTTTGGCCCTTTCTCTGAATATCAATCCGCTTTCTCACCTATGCTCTGTTTTTACAATGTATGTATGTACCATGCACAGCTATAATTTCTCCAAAATACCAACCGATGAATAATATGTGTCAATATTATTGCATGTCATATTTTAGCTACTTCCTACATTTTTGAAGGCTTTTTTATCCCCTTGTGTTTCGAAACAAACAAAAATCTCTGGCTTTTTTGTTTTGTTATTGATATATTGAAGTGTATGGACATCCAGCCAGTCTTGTAATGACGAGGAGGCGGTTTGTGAGATTTGCACAAAGTACAATGCTTTAGAGCCCCATGTGATTGCTATGTAATACAGTCCTGTAATGTTAACCACTTCCCATAAGGTGCACACTTCTGTGATTTGAGCTCTCTAACATTGCTTTAGAGCCCACTTGGAATTTCTCCTATAAACAGATTAACCCTATCAGTGCTAAGTCCTTCAATTCCAATTTGCACACTAACAGTAATATAGGAGTTTAAAGGTGTGGCTTGGACAAACATACCTTTCCTTGAATGCGATGCTGGTTCTGCTGAAAGGCTGTACAGTAGGCAGTGTTTCTGGGCTTGTCCTGCAACATCTCAAGATGTAACTTCTGAAAAGACACGATGAATATACCCAAATGAGGTGACTGACAGGCACAAGGATTCAAAAAACAATTGGATTGATAGGCGAACTGATATAAGCAACATACTGCTTGCAGAAAAGGTTGCTTGCAAACAGTATTGATGTGGAGTACATTTTGAGCAACATGTTGAAATTATTGCTAAATAGTGAACTGGTTAGCTGCCAACAAAGCTGGTGGACAACATAAGGCTAAGATTTCAAAATGAATTGCAAAAACTCTTGGAGTTTTCCTGTATTTCTCCACAATTTATCAGGAAATTTTGGAGGATTTTGCAAGATTGACAAAGGCAGAATTAGTGTGGAACTATGCTGAGAGGGTAGCATTTGAACTGACAAACTAACATTTTTAAATAAAAAGGGGAAAAAAATGACGCACTGAGAAGCATACCTTTCCTTCTCTGTGCTTTATGCTTCCGTAGTGCTGTTACACTGGATGACATGGAGGCCACTCAGAATTTGCTTTATACAGATAATACTTTTTGAAGATTCAAGTATTTGAAGTTTCAATGTCATTCTAATTAATTATAATTTTGTTTACCCATACCTCAAAAAGAAACTAAATTACAAGAAAAAGCATTTGCAGGTTTGGGGGTTTCTAAAAAAAGCCAACCATCACACCGAACACATGCCAAATATCATTTCAAGCTGAAAAATTAGTGCCAACTTGACTTGGAATGAACCCTCGTGTACAACTTACCATTGTGTTGTAGCTACTGAAATATTCGCCGTCTTGCCAACCTCCCCCCTCGTCTGAAAGCGAAGTTATGTGATTGGTCGGCACATAGCCAGTGCACTCCCCTTTTCGAGCCCACCACCAATCAGCACTGCTCTTTGAGATAATGGCCAGCTCGTCACCTATTTGCAAGCGAAGCTGCACCAAAGTTATTTTTCAAAAAAAAGAAAAAAATAAATAAATAAATAAAAAAGGGAAAAAAAGGAAGGGGAACAGAGCAACAGCAACTACTGTTAGATGGAGGTACCTTTAAGTTTAAAGTCGAGACAAACCTAAAAAGTTACCATTACTGCAGAGGCATCACAATCGCGTATTCATTCTTTAACTTGATGGGCACATTGGCCAATCACAACACCCTGTACTTGGAAGAGCCTTGTACATGTAACGTGTGTACCACTTGTGTACTCGTGAGCGTGACACCACAGCAATAACGGATTCTTTGTCTTTTTGCCGGATTAGTCTACATTTTCCAGTCCAGTGGAGAATTGCCGCTGAAAGTTTTGCAAAAAGCAAAGTGGCAACGCAGACTTTTGCTTCTTGAGTAGCTGATGTTAGTAGGTTACCAACAGAAAGCAGCTGTGTACATACATTGTAAGACTTACATCAACTGACTTTACAAGGGTCCTCGAGATGAACTTTTCTTAGAACTTTACACTCTTGGTCGATGTATGAAAACTAAAGGCTATTTAACATTCATTTGGGTTACAGCGAATTGAAAATTACCTTCTTGAAATTTGTTACACATTCAGGAATTGTGTCTGGTTTACTGAACAAATGAGGGCACTGTTGCTACAATGTCACTCAGGAAAAACACTGTTCAATTGCAGGTTTTTCGGTTCAACTAGTGAATCAAAAATGTGCTCATTGAAAACATTTCTGAGAAACAATTGTTCATTTTTACATTAGAATAAAAACAAATTGGGTGACAAAAAAAATTAAAGAAAAGCACCTAAAAATGAAGTTAATTGAGACACAAACATGCATTTGCAAGGGTGGTGTACATACTTTAAAAATGCATTACATAGACTCACTCTCATTTGGATCCTACTTCATGTGAATGCAAATTGCAAAGACTAAAAGCAAATAATATGTATTGTCTGCATTTGAAAATGCAATAAAACAGTGCAATGTTATAAAAATGGCATGCGTCTGCTTTCTGGCCAACTGTTGATCAGTCTGAATTATTGTAATTGTTAACAGAGATTCACCTAGTGTGTTAAATATTTAACCAACTCTCCACAATCCTTATGGTGAAATTTAGTCTTAACAAAGCGTTAAAGGATGCATCATGATTGAGTTGAGTTGGTACCTACCTGACTGTCATCCGTGGGCTGGAAATCGGCAAAGGCGGTGACAACCTCCAAGACATCATTGTCTTCTTCACATTGCTGATGATCGCTGCTATCAGAAAATGCCTGCTCCTCAGTTTCGCCATCTGCATCATCATTTGCACTTCCCGCATCCATCTCTGAAGAGCGTTCAAATGCCTACGAGGATTGGAACTTCGAAAGGTTTCTTTTTTTTTTTTAAATATTGACATTTGGAAAGAGTTCTTCTCCAGCTACCTCTAATGACCACGTGATTCTTGAGTTTTACAAGTGCCAACAAGGTTTGAATAGGCAACAAGAGCAACTTTTCCACTGATATTTCAGTATATCGGAATCCTGAATGGACTTGTGTTCAATGAAAATGCAAGCTGAAGCACAATCTGTTATGTCTGGTAGATAAGGAACTCTTGTCTTAAAAGCACATTTCACTGAACAAAATTAACACCAGAAAAGAAGGGTGATTTCAGACCTAGATGTATAGAATACAGAACTGACACATGGCTAGAACTGTGGCCGGAGACTATATTCCAAGGACAAGACGAGTCCCATAGTTCTGGGGATAGCCTGTTTTTATCTACATTGCTTTTTTACCTTTTAAATTATATTCTTTACAGCCTTTTAAAACTTTTTGTAAAAATTTAGATATGAAGAATTTCCCACACGAATTTCTTCCATCAATTTGTAGATGCCTAGTTACTCTAATTATAATCAGGATGTGGCTGAAAACATCCTCTGATGACAGGTTTTATGCTTATGTTCAATCTTTGATGACCCGACAATCCTTACCTTTATGACACCCCTACATTTTTTGTTTCACTCAATGTTTTTGGGACTTTTTTCAAAGTGTGTATGACCGAGTCCAAACTTGTAAAACAATGTAAAATTCCAACCAGTTCTGACAGATGAAGACATACAACTGTTATCAGGTGTGGATCCAAGAGAGGGGGGATGTCAAACCCTCTCCCGCTGTTTTGACATGCACAAACACCCACCCAAGTGTGTATTTGTCTGCAACTGGGGACCCCCTATTGTTCCTCTTTTGTTTGTACTTTAACTTTTTTAGAAGGCCACCTATATGTTTTGTACACAGTTGTCAATCGGGGACCCTCTGTCAATCGGGGACCTTCTTGTCCTCTATTGTTTAGGGTCCCCAGTTGAATGCAGAAACAAACTCACATCCACCACCCCCACAGGCCACACATACCCATTCACACAAATAAATAAAAAGATAAATATAAAAATAATAATTATAGGAACAATGAAGAAAGATGGCATCCTATGATCCTACAACATGTAGGCCTATTGCAGCTGAATGAAATGAGAAACGGTTTTATCTGAATACGACTTGACTTGGCAACCTGCGCACAAACCCTGCCAGACTGGTCTGAAAAATTCTAAGTATTTTCTCTGTAAACACTTTTCCCTGCTGAATGTACACTTCAGGACATGACATTACTGTTCAGTACAATCTTGACTTTGGCACACATTTACAGTAGGCCTACTCCCTGTTGAGTTGATTAGGCCACGGAGGAATAAAACACATATGCATTAGGCCTACCCAACGAATGGATTTCTATCAAAGGCAAATCATATCTGGATGGAATGCAATACATTTGACATGTTTGAGCAAGATTAAAGACTGTGCTGAATATCATTTTGTGATGATTAATAGGCCTATACTAATTTAGCTTTAACCCTGTTTAAGGTGAGTGATGTACATGTACATCATGTACCTAGCCCAGGTTGGACGTCGTTGTCTTCATTTCATTACGACTACAGTACGGTCAGGGAGTCCACCTGGGCCGGCTAGTCATGTAGACCTACCTATAGAATAATTTTATCATGTTTATGGTACTGGCATGATAATATTTTCAAACAGCACGGTGCACTACCTTCTTCAACTTCCCTTTTGTGTGAATCTCCACGACTCCAGGCCTAAATGATGTATTCTCAGTCGTCAAGCTGAAGACGAAAATCCGGCGCGGAAGTACGTCCGCACAAGTTGCTTGTTCAAGTTATGGGCCTATTTGCTTGCTGGCCTTTTTAAAAAACAGCGCCCTCCATTGACTGCACGAGTTGGGGCGTGGCCACGGACTTACATTTAAAGTGGGCCGGTTTTATGAGACAAGGGTCAAATTTGAAACAAACCTCGTTTCCGTTTTGAAGCGGGGTACTCTCTAGAAGCAAGCCAATGGGACAAATTAGAAGATGTCTGCCGCGCCTCTCCCCATCAAAGGGAGGAGGCATGGCCCCTCACAATCACACCCCTTGCTTTTAAACGTCACTGGGGGCTCGAACTGTGCCTCGTGGAACATTTTAGAGGCCCATTCATTGGGAGAACAAAAATCTAGGCGTACCTTTATGATCGTCCGAGTAGCATGGACTCTACAAATTGCCTTTTTAGGCCACAGTAAAAAACCAAAGTTTCCTTGGCCTTTTTTTATGAATAGGCATTTCTTTAGCCTCCTCAGTCACCCTTTGATAGTTATTGCCAGTGGGAAAAGGTTGGCAATTATATCTTGCTGGCAATTACCTTCAAGAAAGGAAACAGGAAACCACAATACCACAAATCTCAAAACCTGGCGTAAAATTGTGTCAGAAATTAACCCAAAACATACTTGAATTCTGCTGTTTGTTGTAGTGCATCCAGGCACTGAGTGGCCCAAACCAAATCGAACCGGCCCTTTGCAAATATCATAAGCATGGACAGCCTGAGGAAATTGGTGCACTGGGGTGGGGCTGTGGGAGTGTCCTCCACCTCCATTAGTCAGTTTGATTGGTAAAATCATGGTAATGTCGGTAATGTGATCCCCTTTCCTTTCCTTTTCTTTTTTCCAGTAAAGTGATGGGCAAGGGAACCAACTACTTGTACGTACCGTTTTTGATGAAACTTGCCAAGAGCACTCCCCCTGCATTCAGAATCTTATTAGATTATTTGACGGAGCTATCAAACTAATGCTGAATAGCATTTTAAACTAAAAAAGTGTAACACAACAATGGAGGGCCTGCATGGAGTGCCCTTTCAGAGGACATGTTTTGTTATTTAGATTTAGATGACATTGAAATACCGGTACACAATAGAGTCTACTCAAGCATATCACACAGGAACGAAGACCTGTCCTCTGTGAGGACACTCCACACAGGCCCTCTCTATATATCTGGACCAGTTGCCAACCAAGTTGAACCATCCAACAGAAGCTATTATTTTGCATGTCAAATATATTTCGATTCATTTTGCAATTAGCTCCATACATGTATATCACATCCTTGTGGCACTGCCTTCCAGAAAACCACGTATTGGTCAGAAATGGCCTCATCATGGGTAGCACAAGGAAGTACTTGTATTACCCTGAATAAAGTCACTCATACAAAACCAGCTAAATTAAACTAAACACTAGAAACAAGGGCTGCTGATATTGCACGTGCATAGTCTCAGCCACTTGAAGCCCGTTCTGACATCATGGTATTCCATCTACACATCCCCAACGTGTGGCACTGCCGCTGTGAAACACACTCAAGTTACTAAGGACATTGAAAGATTGATAAAATGCTATCATTATTTTGCCTTGATATTTGTTTCTGGCGTGAGGAACTCCTTACGGGAACAGGGGCATAGCCAGCGGAGGCAGGAGGGCACATAATGATCGCCTCTCCCAAACTGGGAAGTTGGAAAAGAACAAAATAGGCCTAATACTATTACATTTATTTGGAAAATACTGGGACTTGTGCCTCCGCCCCACTGTAACATCCAACTTTGCAATTTCTCCCCCCCTTTACCGCGAGAACCCTGCCTGCAATGCTGATGTGCAGATGTGCACTGTCTTTGTGCCTTCAATCTGTGTTGTCTCACACTCAGAGCATGACAGTTGGCATCAACCGAATTGCCCAAGGCTTCAGACCAAAGCAAATGTCAGAACAGCACTCGAGCTCTGAATCCTCCATCTTTCCAACACCTGGAAAAAAATACCAGGACTGCCTGCACCACTCTGTTCTTCACAATTTTATCTACATAAGTATTAAATTAAGTCACCCTTCCAGACTTAAGAATGGTAGAACGGTACACTTCAGACATCCAACTGTTGTTATGCAATTGCTTCTTTATTTGCTCAAAACAAAAAACCCTTTACCCTTAACATCAAATTCACAAAAACTGTTTCAGTATGTACCATTCAAACCAAGGGATACAGGTTACCTCTAGGTAACAATAATGGACAACTATATTGTCCGGCAAATGAGCTAATTGCAAGGGTCTTCTATGAGTCAAATGTATGATCCACTTCATCGTGTATGAGGTTGTAACAGACAGCAAAACCAAAGGTCACAAAGCTGCATTTTAACAATCTGACCTATGAACTGTTACAAATACCTAAATAAGAGTTACAACTTCAAAATTGAAAGATTGTACATCAGTTACAAATATTTCCCACTTAAAAAAAAAAAGAATTCAGGCCTAAATTTGACACAAGTTCCCATATAAAGTGGAGCTGGCAACACCGAGGATGACTTCAATTAAAGCTAGTTTTAATCAAAAGTAAAATTAAAAAAACACTCTTAGTGTGCTGCAGCTTTTGGAATTCCATTTTGGTATATTCTGCTATTGCACATTTTGAATGAAACAAGATTAACATCTTTTTTTCTTTTATCTTGACCTAAAACATATTCAATTTGACATTCGAATTTGAAGTGGGAATACATGTACTTATATCTCTATTTCACACTAAGGCGAGCATTTTTTTAAAAATTGGTGCTCTGAATTTTTTGAAGACAAATTCTCAAGGAGGACGGGAAAAAAAGTGTTTTCTATGACCTCAAGAAAAACAAACAAGGGTCTTCAAGTCGGAGGGAAGAACACCCCCTGGGTACCATTACCATTAGCACTAGTCACTGGTGACCAAAGCTCACAAAATTGAAAATTGGGGACTTCGTTGTCGGTTGGACAGCGGAGCAAAAGCAATTTCTTTTAATATACATCAGTAAATTTTCAATTGGTGGATCACAGACTTCTCAAAATAAAATGTTTAATTTTTTTGTCCACTTCTGAGTCCCAAAGGTTGGCAAAGGTTGAGTACCAACTTAGAAAAACTCTCGCCTAAAATCTGCGCAATTTAAAACTGAATTTAATAGTTATTAATAACAAAGTGTTTTGCTATGATTTTTAATCGTATTGCACACCTATGAGCCTCTGCCACATTTTAAAAATCTCCCTTTTTCCAAATTACTTAATTAACAAACGATACCCTCAATTTAATTATAAGACTCTGACAAAGCTGATACCATCTCCTCAGCACAAAGCTGCATTCAACTTTTCAATTATACAGTCATTTGCAAAAATTTAAGACCATCCGGAATTTTATTGGTATTTCTGTCACTGGGCCTGCATTACATTGTCTCATTGAATGATAACTTAACATGTTTTTACAGTGGTGCATATCAGTGTAGTGCTATATACCCATTTGAATGAAATTTGTTTGCAAAGGCAGGTCTTGTATGACATTTTGTCTGTAAGGTAGCATGGGTGAAAAAAGCCAGTATAAGTTATCATAAATAAAGGAGGGCACACTAAATATTAGACTTTTAACATTTCAAATCATGGAAATGCAGTAAAATAACTGTTTAACCAAGATACTAAGGTTACCCATTGAAAACAAACATAAGTTGCCATGATTGGCATTAAGTTTGGTTTTTCTTCAGGTTAATGCATTTTTGTATGGGTGGTCCTAAACTTTTGCAAATGACTGCATGAAGTAATCTCTAAATCAAGGTATCAGAATTCCTAACCCTGGGCGAAATACAGTAACTGGTAACTTAATAAAAATAATCTGATGATTCTAAAATAAGTCCATTTTTCTTTCAACTGCCAAAACTGAATTGGCGTATCAATTGTCTGTCTGGACTGCATCCTGCTATATCGAAGATCTGGGATAAAATCTAGCAACACCATTTATGTTAGTTTTGGAATCCTCAAAAAACCTCCACCATTTCACATTAACGCAAAAGCAAAAATATATGCCAGGTCAGTTTGATCCTATGTCATGTTACTACTGCAGATCCAAAGTCGGTATTTCCTAATTCATCGTCTATGAGAAGAACAACAAAGGGAACAGTCTCAGTTGAAAGTTGGAAAAAAAAAACACTAGAATCTTGAATATTTTATTCATATGACAGTTGTCTCCATAAAGTGTTAGTCTTTGTTGAAGGATTATTGAAGGAGACTACTCTAGGCATGAGTTTGGTGGGAATTAAGACTGAAGATGGATTGAGGAGAAGATGACTGAGAAAGATAGCATTCTTTCTCTCAACTTTGCATGGTCAATTTGTGAAATTTCACGACAAACACATGTCCAGGTAGCAGGTCATCAAGCACCTACAAAAGGGGGGGAGGGGTGCCTGGCATTTCAGAAGGGGAGGGAACGACTCAATCTGTGTGGAACCTGAACTATGAGGGAAGCATATTCCAGCGATAATTTCTGTCCTAACGTTATTGTTATATAAATACTTGGGAGCAAATGAAAAGTTTCTCAAACAGGCATCTCTTCAAGTAAGTAGATAAAAAAATAAAATAATTTAAAACAGGGGAGGGGTCAACGCAAGCCGCTCTGGATATGCTAATGAACACAATGTAAACATCTTTAACAAGATATTCCAATTTTTTTTTTAAAGTGAGAAATATCTGATTCGTTTCCCAATTAAATTCAATAATTCACTCACCATTTCCTGTTCACCATGCTACCTCTCGTCTCCTCACCGTCTTCTTAAAGACGGCGCCTGTCCAGCTTGGTGGATGTAACTGTGTGAAAGGAGAAAACGCAAAGTCATCATGGTACAAACATTTAAACTGTTTCACCAACCTTGCGCAAGATGCTTACAGAAAACAGGAATTGAATTGAACATGGTGAATACTCTGCCATTATGCTCTGTTTTCCTTTCCTATCTGATTTTACTGGTGTCGTCTGGTTTCTGTCTGTTTGTTTGTCAGGCTGTCTTTAGCTGATGGTATAAAATTATAATCTATATTATGTTTTGTTCCAGCCCATGCCACACTTTTACATTGTAATCAAGACGACCATGTTTCTTTTCTCTATCTTTTTCCATACCATGAAAGTTTGTTAAATATATTCATTACACAGTGAACTGTCATGTACAAACTACCATAGAATTGTAAAGACGGCAAAAATAAGTAAACTCGTTGAGTTGTTACCTTTCAAAGTCCCATCATCTTCATCTGTAGAACGTCGGCGCCGTCTTTGGACAGCTGCCAAAAAAAAATCAGCATGATATAAATCTAAAAGTAAATCATGAAAAGAATGAAGCATTGTGTTTTCCCCAGAAAGCAAAAAGAAACATTGGAAGTCATGCAGAAGTGACAGAAAAGCCAAGAAATAGGCTAATAAAATCGTAAGGATTCAAATCCGTTGATTTAAATCCTCACTGAACGGAGGACAACCCTGTTAGTTTTTTCTTTTTCATTATGATATCCTGTACTTAATTCCAAAGAAATTCCACTCTTCTTGAAAAGAAAAACTAAGTCTGGATTGAACAAACGTATGCATTTAGTGAACTGTGCCAATAGCTGTGGTGAAGCCTACCTTCCCTAAGGGGGCTATCATCGTCCACAGAGCGTCGTCGCCTTCTATCCGCTGTCAACAAACAAGTTGAAAATTCAATTACACAGTGCTGTGCTCAACTTTTCAAGTTCAAGCTTCAGCGTAAACAAGGCTGGAGAACACGGGGGCACTGGATGAAATATGCGCAAAGGTAAATATTACAAAATATATGGACGGCTACAGACTATCAGAGTTTTGTGATATTTAAATTTATGGGCCACAAAAACTCAAAAAGGACTCGGTTCAAGTTTGAGGTTTCTGGAATTGCTGCAAAGTTTTCTCAGCCATTCAACTGCCATGGACTGATTAATTATTGGATAAGAATGCTCATGATACCACAAAATGACTTCAGTAAAAGGTCCTATCAAAACAACCTGACAACTCTTTTTTTAATGTTTGGACTGAACGCAGCAGCATTAAATTTATGTCCATACTTTCCCTCAGCTAACATGTACTGTGAAAGCTGGCAATGACAGGAGTGCTTGATAAACCGTTACCTTGTGAACTTTAATTTCTATGCAGAGATTGCATAACTTTTTACAAGGCATTTCTCGTATTTCAAAATATGCAAAGGCTGTTGGGGAAAGGTTTGTACTTTCTCACTGACAGTGACGACTGCGAGGGGTACAACATAACAATATGATCCAGTCACCTATTGATCCAAAGGTTGGCATCACGGTCCACACGGCAGCGTCACTGGAAGCGAAGCCAACCTCCGTCTTTGGGGAAGTAGTCGATGTTGAGTACAGAATTCTGCCCTCAAAGAGAATGAGGATTTCTGTGAGTTCTCGTCTCACGCACATTTTGGGTTCACTGCTGAAGCCCGCGACAGCCTCCAGCACAAAGTCAGTATTATGCATGATTTCCACAACGCCATCGTAGATATCTGGAAAAAGAGGTGCCCCATTATTATGTTAATGATTAAACATTATCACACACATCACACACCACTAGGACTACCAATTTTGCATGATGTTTGTTCTATCTGCTCTTATCTGTTCCCGGGCGATTTTCAAGACTTTCCATTTTCAAAATTCTTCAAAAATTCATAACTTCATTTACTGAACGTTTACACCCACACAAATGAATGTCTGGTGGCTATGCCTGAGTATTGCAGCCAAGCCTGCGGCCCACTAAGGAGAGCCCAAATTGTACAGTGTCGTGTAATTTCCTTTGTTACCGAAATTTATTATTACTGTGTATTTGACCATCACAAGAAGAAACAAAGCAAAATTGAACAAAAAGAATATAAAAAACAACAAAAACACACATACAAGTAAATATAAGCAGTAGCAGGGACCAGGGACAAAAATCTGAATACATAACAAGACAAATAACAGTTACGTGGGTCAGGGACTGCAAAAGTAACATAAACTACTATTACCCGTGGGGTATGCAGCCCCGCACATAACGTTAACAAGACCAATTATACAGAACAAAGAAAACAATGGTTCCCACATAGGTAATCAAAATAACTGCCAGAAAAAAAAATAGGTTGAATTATGTGTCTGATAAGAAAGCCTGCTTGAGGGCCCTAACGAATCAAGGAACGGAGTTGGAAACAGCTCAGTCTTTGATAATGTTAGATAATGATTTGCCTAGTATGTTGCTGAATGGCGATGATGTATTTTCAAATGTGGCCAGATTAGCGTGCTGTGGTACGGTATCACTCATCGCTGGAGTGCTGCAGCACTTTTGTCCCCGCTGATAATCCGCGGGTGCTGAATGCTGCAAACAGAGGTATACTGTTTCAGAACAATGACGGATTACCTCCGCTGATGCCAGCTGAAAAATGATGGCAATTCCCAGCAGCTTGGTCTTTTGTTACAAGGCCCAGCTCCTTTGTCCGATTTTTGGGCACCCCCCCGCCAGCTATGTGTACAAACCCAAGGTACCCGGTACCGGGAACCCTGGCACCAAGTGGTTAATGTTCCTTTATGAATGGAAATTGAGGACCATAATCGGTACAAAACCAACCTGATTTGAAGATTTTCTTGATGAAAAATCTTTTAGAACTCTGTGTCAGTTTAGACACAGAAATATGTCACAGATACGTGTAACTTAAAGAGGATAACAATTGAGCTAAATGAGCTGCATTTCAATAAGCCCCATGCTGGACCAAGAGAGGGTGCACTCCAGACTCCTTCTGTTGGGAATGGACCCATTGCTGGTTTACAAACAACCATCAAATGCATGTGTTACTGGTTGTATCGCTAACAACAAATGAGCACTCCCAACCGACATGGGCCATTTTCCAATACTCACTCAACTTCATCTCCATCTCAGGCTTCGCCTCTGAGGAAGCGTTTAAATTAAATTGAAGTACTGTAATGTTTGGCTCTTTGGCATCTTACGGTACTTGATGTTTTGTGGCACAATCAGACTTACCGGTACCTTTGCGCTTAAAACTTCAAAGTCAGGAAGTAAAAAACAGTTGAAGCCCGAGACAGAGGCGGAGTCAAGTATTGGTAAACGGCCATGGGCTCTCTGTAACCGATGGGAGGGGGGGTGCTTCTGCTTAACGTGGATACGGGGAATTTTCATGTTTACCATGCAATTTCAGTTTTCCTTCTAATATCGACCGACTGTTGGGCTGGGCTGGGTTATGTTGGGTTGGGTTGGGTTAGGTTGGGCTGGGTTGGGTTTCATTCATGCACTGTGTATTATTTGAAGTCTTGATTTGCGGCCTTGATCAAATCAGTCATTTCTGGTGTATCAATCTGTGTGCATGTATCGTGTGGAGGTAATGAACACCTAATCTAATGAAAAATCCAAGTACTTCATTGCTTACAACATTAACTTAAGAAATAAAGGAGAAACGAGAATCTGCAAAAATCGTGGTATAAAATTATTATCTTTCAGTATTCACATATTTAACCATACCTAATTTAGAACCAGGTCCTATGTCAATTCTAGGCTACGTTGGACTCTTCCACGTCTACAGTGAAGTACATCGTTTCTTACTATGCCGTATCAATGCAACTTACTCAAATCGACCATGCCAGGCTGCAGAACTGGGTCTTGGCAGTGCCAGATGGCGACAAACACGTTGTGAGCACTGGTAGCGTTGAAGCAGACTTGAGTAAATTTCTTGGGGTCAAGCGGAGTGGCGCACTCCTTGTACGTGTTGTAACTGTTCATTTCGGTACGGATTTCGCATGGCTCGGGTTCTGGTACAATCAATCAAATCAATCAATCAAATCAATCAAATCAATCAAATCAATCAAATCAATCAAATCAATCAAATCAATCAAATCAATCAAATCAATCAAATCAATCAAATCAACCGACTGACCGACCTACCGACCGACCGACCAATCGATCGATGCAGTAACATTAGTTCTTGACATAAGTCCTCTACTGAAGAACTTATCTAAATTGTAGGGTCCAAAAACACAAATCAATAACACTGTACACGATTGAAAGTGTGCTTCAGTAGACGAGATGTAGAGTAAGTATCATAACATTCAGCATGTGCAATATGTCACACCAAATGACAGGTGAATCAATCCCAAATGCCTGTTCCTGTTTTAACACCGACAGATATACCTGTATACAGTACCTCCACTCTGCAGAGATCTCTACAGACTTATTTCATGGCACAATGCTCACGTACAACGTGTATCCCCCTGTTTATTTACTTGGCCCTTGCTTCTACTCATACACATGTAACTTGGCCCCCATGTTATGACCTCACTTAGTTTTAAAGCAGACCAGCAGAGACACTATCACTGTTCATATCTTTGTTCCTCCTCACTGGAGTGTGCTTTTCTGCTTGAATCAGGTTCCGGTCTGCTTCTAAAGAGTCAATGATGGAGAGCCAAACTCTCCTCACTAGATCTTGTTTGACACACTGCACTGGGTTTTGTCCTTTTATACGCTTTAGTCTTTTGGTGTTAACTCTTTGCAGTCTTACAGCCATTTCGTTTTTTTCATTTTCTGGGCACTTTTTAATGAATACATTCTTTTTTGTCCTTTTTTGAAGTCAAATATTGGTGTCTGAGTCCCTGTTGATTCTGTTTCCTGCAACCCTTCCCTCAAATATCCTTGGCTCAGTTACAGTTTTTTGGTTATTTTTTCAAATTCGCCCTTAGCGCGCCATTTTTCCAGGTTACACTTACTAATGTTGATATCAAATGTGCACTTGGCGGTATTGCCGTTTGCATCTGTGGCTTGACAGGTGACAGTGTTGGGGCCATTGGAGTACAATAACTCGGCGTTGTCGCAGGTAACCGGGTAGGCTGATCCATCATCGTCAATAGCGCTGGTGTCCCGGGAGACGACAAAGTCGATATTGCTGGGAGAGCTAAAGGTCATGTCAGTCGGACAGTTGACTTCCGGTGGCATAGTGTCTGAAACACAAAATTTGCAAAGTTTTTTGACACGTTTCAAAGTTGCTCAATCGTCATTGCATTCCGAAACATTTCAGGGTTGGCTCCCTAATAAAAAAGGCATTGGCAGCATTACTGCATGACGCACATCAACTGACAGTCCCCAGGGCTCATACAAATAATAGAAATAATAACTACAGTGCCATCCAATACTTCATCAAGATTTTGAACAAAGAATTGCAGTAATACCAAGGTTTCAGCTTTTTCTGATTACATTCTTTTTTTTTTGGTTATGATCAAGTCCGTCCTAAGTCCTGGTGTTTTGAATTTTCTTCTTGATTTTAGCATTGTGATTTGGAACATATCTTGAATGTTTTAACAAAGCATTGAAATTTTTCACTGTTCATATTTCTTTAAATTGAATAATTGTCTGTATTTTTATTCTGATAGTAACTGTGTTATTCAAAATTAGATCCACGTAGTATCATCTGATTCATCCGACAAACTCGCACACACGCATCACACAATGTGTGAGGTCTGAAGGGTACTAATGATACATTTTCAAGTCTATTTGAACCCTATGGACTGGTTTCCTTTATTTCCAACACTTAAGTGGTGAAAATGTAAATCACTTCCAACGAAAGCAAGACTGCCTCGGCCGCTTGCACATGGCCCCCGGCTGGCGTGGCCTGGGCAAGGTTATGCTAAAGGCATAGCGTGGCATCTGTGACTGATTTTATTCTTCAAATGTTGCAACATACGGTATGCCGCTTGGAGTATAAGCCGCAGCGTGAGCATCAACTTATAAGCTGCCCCCTGTATTCTGAAAATTACAGTATTGTACAAATGCAGTCTCCTCCCTGAAAACGTGTACCCATGGCATGCACTCAACTGACCAATCCTTGAAACTGTACAATTGAAGGTGCAATTCGTTTAATCAGTGTTAAAAATGCTTCAACGGTTCTCCACAAACACCAGATACCAAGGAGGGAAAAAGTTTGCTTGAACAAGCCTGCCAACTTCGTATTATTGTATTGATATGAGCTTATCCTACGCATTACTCGGGAGGATTATATGTAACAAAGGCGCAGGATGTTGTGAGTACTTAATTGACTTGGCAATGAATGACTAGGTAGAGCCATGGGGCTCGTGAACTGGACAGTCCTTAGCAACAGACAGATTTCTGTATACATTTGCAAACAGTTCATCAAGTTTTTTTTGAAAAGAACCCTTACCTTTGACTACAACCATGAAGGAGCAGGTTTCGCTGTTGCCAGCCTTATCTACGGCAGTGCACGTGACCTTGGCGGAGCCAACTGGGAACTGTTGGCCTTGCTTTTTGTCACAGGAAACTGAAGGGTTGATACCACTGTTGTCAGTCGCTTCTGGCGACTGGTATGTGATGGTGGCGTATGACTGACCCTGATCCGGAGACTCGTTGGTCATGTCAGCTGGACAAGTAATCTTGGGCTTTTCTTTATCTAAAAGACACAGAAGAAAATGAATCCAATGAATACGTGATTAGAGATGACATAATTCTTGAAATTCTTTGAACTCATTACAGATGGCTCGCGCACATCATCCACCGACGTAAAGTCCAAGTGACAAACGGAAGGATTGTTGGACACACCAGGTAATCGACATGAATGTTATATCGACATCAGTGTACCAAAGTAAATCATATTTGGTTGAATTGAAATTTAAGACGTGAAATTTCGAAATAAATTTCTGAAGCATCATTCAACTCTGAGGTCTTTTTCCATCTTCTCATGCAGGTAAGGGGGACCCAATCTTTCTGATGTGTGTAACAGAATTTTTTTTTTTTTTTTGAGTACAAATGAGTATGTCAGGCAATGCGGTGGGTACATGACAACGGGCAACTGGCATTGTAGGCTACCTGTGTCAGAACATTTGACATTTTGTAAGAATGTTATGTCTGAATTCCATAAAACTAGTGTCAGCCCCCGCACACTGTGACGATCAGAGAAGAGACTCCTTTGCCAAAACTGCTTCTGCACTGAATAAGTGGCACATGAAGACCAGATTAAGAACAGCATCAACGTGAAACCCTCTGAAGGTTTTACCTTGGACTGTGATTTTGAATTGGCAGGCGTGTTTGTTGCTTGAAGAGTCAGTGGCGCTACAAGTAACAGTGGTTTCTCCTATACCAATTGGTGCATTTGATGCAGGGTCACAGGTCACTTGCACGCTGCCATCCACATTATCAGTTGCTGTCGGTGTCGTGTAGGGCGCTGCAGCATTGGGCTCACCCTTATCCGTGGGTACTGTCATGGACTTTGGGCAGTCAAACTTGGGATCTTCATCATCTGTGCATAATCAAGTACAGTGCAATAGTCAACGCATCTTTGTAGAAGTACACTTCTGATGTCCGAGTTTTGCATTCAGTTGAAAAATGTGACAAATATCTGAGATCTGGCGTGGAGTGAAAGTAATTTTTCCAATGAACCAGCTCAACATTCCAATGGAACAGACCCCCAAAAAAGGTCATACAGCAACAATACGTACCCTCTTTTAGCTTGGCAAGGCGCCAACTTGAACATGTGCCTCATTCTCAAATGACTGTATCTTTTTGTGAAATACAGAGCCGGCTCATGAGGCTTTTGAGGGCTCTAAAATTCGACTCAATAAAGTCATCAATCCCTGCAAGAATTTCTTCAGTAAATACAGGCCTCTGTTCCAAGGCAAGGCCCATCAAGCATGTCAGCAAGATTCCAATTACAATGCAGCACACCACCAAGAAACTTGGCAGAGACTCACAAGGTCAACCTCTTCTCTCACTTTCAAGTGCGAAAAGGTTTTGTTCGGTCTTGTTTCACTTAGGTAGCTTTCCCCTTTTATCGCTTCCAATCTGAATTGCACATTTTCTTGAGTTAAAGAGTCTCAAAGATTTTACAGTCCTTGGGCCGACATATAAAGCATCCCCTCTCCCAAAAAAGATGCACAAACAACACCAACAAACAGACAGTGACCATCGGCTGACCTTACCTGAGACATTTATGGGGAAAGTACAATTTGCTGAATTGCCACTACTGTCGGTGGTGCTGCAGGTGACCATGGTTGGCCCCATCGTAAACGTAGAGCTTGGCGCTTTATTGCAGATGACCGTAAGGACTGAGCTGGCGTCAACGTTGTCATTGGCTTTCGGTAGAGGGTAGTTGACGGTAGCATAATCTTTGCCTTGATCGGTAGTAACATCCTCAGAAGACTGGCAGGTAAGAGTTGGTGCTTCTAAGTCTAAAAAAACAAAAAAACTGCATTAACATCTGGAACTGAAAATACACATCTTAAAAATGACACAAAAGTAACATCTGCAATGTTATTTGTCTCCCCTGCCCCAAACATTTTAGTCATGGTAAAAGTTCCCAACATGTTACCTGTCGAGGCATATTTCAGTGGTATGCGACATGTTCTACACCTAACAGATATTGCCTGAATCCAGAAAGTATGAATATATGAATAAATAGCTGGTTTTATAGTCCTTCCTGAAAACAGAGACTGAAATTGGCTCAAAGGTATGCCGACAACAGCGTGAAATTCAACGGTTTATTCAGAAAGTCTGTTGCCAATTTGTCTGAACGCTTACGGAACACTCAGCGTATCTACATGTAGATTTTAGAATGGTCAGGTTATTATATCTTTCCTATGTCTTGGTACTGGGCACCATATTGACCGTCTGCTGTGAGCACCATGCAGGGTGCAGTCCACTGATTCAATAGACCGTATTTGCGGCGTCCCCAATTTAAATCGAATTCCCAAACGTACAGTATCAATTTGATCCCCGTAATGGGGTGGTAATAGGTGATTTGGGGGGTCAGAATGAAATTGTAGAATATAGTCTGGTTCTTTGAATTTAACATTTTCAAATAAATACACTACGTTGGGGAATTTGACTGAATTTGGGGAGGCCACGAATACGGTCAATTGACAGTTTTCGCTAAGCTCATTGACATGACAAAAGCCCCCACACTTTCTTTGGAAAAAGGAAGTTTGGCTTCACACTGGTGAGATTGTATAATTATTTGACAGGCTTTGGGCTTCCAATCTGAGGGCAAAATGGATACAAGATCAGGTTGAAAAAATGGCACTAAGCGCTCGAGAAAGTAAAGGGAAGCCACTTGAAAAGAGCCTGCAAGTGGACTTCGGAACTGCCACTTTTTGTAATTGTAAATGTAATTGGTTAGCCCATGAAAACTGAAAACAAATTGAAAGATTAAGGACAAACCATTAATTTCATTCATTTTTGAGAAACCCCTAGGAGAAGCATTCTGCAGCTTCCCACATCTACCATCCAGTCAGGGCAGTTGAAAGGGTCTATATTGCAAATATTTCTTGGAAGTGCCTGTAATGTACAACTTCCCATTTTACAGATCATAAAAACTCTAAGGCACTTAGTATTTGGAGGCAACAACAGTAAAAACTACAGAAGGGGAAAACCTTCCGCTTCATCTTTCAGTGTTAAACACTCCAAAGATTTTTACCTTCGACCGTAATATCAAATGGGCATGTCTTTTTGTTGCCTGCAGAATCGGAGGCTGAACATGTGACCTCGTTTACTCCAACAGCAAAAGCTGTGCCTGAAACTGGGTCACAGGTTACTTGCACACTGCCGTCCCCAATATCGGTTGCCTTTGGTGTACTGTAGTAAACCGTGGCCGTTGCTGAACCCTCATCTGTGGATTTCTTCATGTTTTTCGGGCAAGTGAACACCGGAGCTTCGTTATCTGAGCAATTACACATGCACATGGAAAAATGAAAGGGAGTTAATGCACTGGGATTGTACAAATGATATTTAAAATTTATGGAGAATATTTTGAGAGAAAAGCAACTTGCCCCTTTGTTAACCACTTGCCTCCGGGCTTCCCGGTACTGAGTACCTTGGGTTTGTATGCATAGCCAGGGGTGCCCAAAATTGGACAAAAGAGCTGGGCCTTGTTACAAAAGACCATACTTGGAACAAAAGACTGAGCTGCTGGGAATTGCAATCATTTTTCAGCTGGCATTTGTGGAGGTAATCTGTCTTGTTTTGAAACAGTATACCTCTGTTTGCAGCATTCAGCAACCGCGGATTATCAGCGGAGAAAGAAGTGCTCCAGCACTCCAGCGATGAGCAATACTGTACCGCTGCACCCCTATCTGATCCCATTTGAGACAACAGCGCCATTCAGCAACACGCTGGGCCAATTTTGAGAACAAAGGAAATCATGCAACACCGCACAACCATAGGCTCTCCTTACTGGGCAGCAGGCCTGGCTGTAATACTTCGGCGTCGATGGAGGTTACCTGTCTGATTAGAGTAGCCTTCAGACAATCATTCATGTGGGTGTAAGCATCCAGTAAATGAAGTTATGAATTTTTGAAGACTTTTGAAAATGGAAAATCTTGACAATCGCCTGGGCACTTGTCCTGCATATGCAAATTCCAACCGGCAGGAAGTGGTTAAAATAGGCTGCCAATTTCACAAATCTGCCGGTCAAATGTTTAATGAACCAATGTAATATTCCAATTGAAATGCACAATGAAAAGAACCTTTCATCTTGAAGATGAGCGGTTGGAAATGTCAAGGATTGCGGTGACGTCTCACCTGTTACATCGACCACAAACGTGCATGTCTTCTTGTTGTTGGAGCTGTCGGTGGCTGAGCAGGTGACCGTTGATGTTCCAATGCCAAAAGTGCTTCCTGAGGGTTTTTCGCAATTGACCATCACAGTGCCATCCACATTGTCCTTTGCCATCGGCACGTCATAAGTGACTGTGGCATATGCCTTACCAGGGTCAACATTGACTTCAGTCAGAGATGGACATTCAAATTCTGGACTAATCTTATCTAAAAATACAAAAACAAAACAAACAAAACAAAATAATACATAAGAAAATAATAACAAAAACACAACTACTCATATTTCTTCCCGGTACCCACTGCCTAACTGAGTTGAACTGGTCAGTCAATCTCTGCACTCAGCCAAACTCTTAAATATCCCAACCCTTAGGAGATTAGGACATTAGGAAATATAACAAATTAAAGTTTGCACCCTTTACATCATTTCACCTTGTCTATAACACTTCTTTTCCACCTATCCACCAAATTTCAGCCCAATCAGGCATGGAATTCACAAGATACAGGACTTTTAAAAATGTACCTTGAATATCACGTGACTAGTCACATGATAAAGTCATTATTATATCAGGTCAATGACTGCCTAAAGCCCTCCCCTTTCAAGACATCTCCAAGCATTGAACCCAATTGGACATGTATTCACAAGATATAGTGCTTCAAAGAGTGCATCTTTAATGTCATCATCTTATCAGCTCATTGTCTGAAGCACTCCCCTTCTAGATATCTGCAAGGTTTGAAACCAATCAGACATGTACTTCACTTTGAGGAATGCACCTTCAATGTCATGTAACATGACCATCTGATGATGTCATGATTGCATGAGGTCAATTTCATCTATAACACTTCCCTTTGTAAATATCTGCCAAGTTTCAACCCAACTGGACATGCACTTCATGAGAAATGGTACTTAAAATGATACACCTTTAATGTCACATGACTCCTCATACAGCATATGAGGTCAATCTCTGTTTCCTTCCCTTCCTGACGTCTGCAAGGCTTCAATGCAATCAGACATGTACAATATAATATTTAAATATTCAAAATTTAATCATAAAACACTTGATGACGTCATCAGGACGTAATTATTTTAGTACTATTTTTGCTTTGAGGTCCGTCTTTTATGCAACTTTGACGATGATCGAACATTGTTAAGTTACCAAAACTGTGCCTTGAAAATGTGTACAAAGTCAATGGGCTGAAATACATAATAAAAAATCAATAATAAATCACTTGATGACGTCATCATTATGTCATTGTTCTAGACATATAGACATCTATACACAAGGGTCCTTCACTGATGTAAGTTTGATGAATATCCGAAGCTGATTAGGAACCAAGTTGATGCCAGGAAAAACCTGCACATAACAGAGGGGGTTTGGGTCATCATCAGAAGAAGACCAAAAAAAGAAAGAAGGCCTTTTTCGCAACTTAAGAAAAAGCCACAAATTCAGAAATTTTGACTATCCAGCAGGAGGGTAGGGAGACAATTTAACTTTTTCTCCCCCAGTAACATTATGAATAAGCCTGAAGCTACAGTCACTTTTGAATCTGTTCCCCCCACATCAAAAGCCGGATACGCTGCTGCCAATAGTCTATAGAAGGTGTACAGATCTAGTTTATTAACGTAACTTGTGAAATAAAAACTGACTGCTAAGTTTCAAAGAACACAAGATATCAACATTGCAGTTGTTAAAACATTCATGCTCAATGCTGAAAACTGTATCAAACGCCAGAGACAGACAGCTTCAACAATCTATAGTAATTAATGTCCAATGAATAAGACACTGTTAACAAATAAGGTTCCTGGAACATAACACAAAGGATCAATATTACAAGTTTGATGCTAAAAGTTTGAGTAACGACTACCATCATAAATCCAACAAGGTCCAACTATTTGTCACTGCTGCTGGATCCTACTGGATTGGGCGGTAAACTCCTTTCACTTGTTCCTCTTGAAATCAGTTAGATTTAGCAGTGAACAAGCCGTAAAACTTGGCTGGGCAGTTGAAATGTGTTTTTTGTTGGAATCAGCAAGAAACTGAAAAATACACAGTTGGATTCTGCTGGATTGGCATATCATTTTACAAGTTACCGTCACTGGCCCGGCAACTCAGAGAGTTGGACTGAGCTCAGTTGAGTAGGAAATTCATTCAAGGGGGCTTGTCCACAAGGCCGTTTTTTAAATGCAATCATTGCATTTTAGACAAGCCTCAGCAATCTGCAAAACCTTGGACTGCTTCTTCCTCCGATCCTCAGCATTTCAAAGCAACTGACCAACAAAGTACTTTATCGTTATTTCAACAAACCCAACAAGGTTACCTTTAATGACGACAGGGAACTCGCAAGTCTCCTCGATGTTAGAGGTATCAGTTGCAGTGCATTTGACCATAATTCTTCCAACACCAAGTGCCGTGCCGGATTCCGGGGTGCAGGTAACTTTTACGGTGCCATCAACATTATCAGTTGCAATTGGTAAAGTGTAGGACACTACTGCAGTTGACTGGTCGGCATTAATGAACAAATCCATGGGTATCGGGCACTCGAACTTTGGCCCCTCATTATCTGAACAAACAGAATATTAAAGATATCTGTCAAAACACTTGCTCACCATGGGAAAATGAGTGTCAGGAGGGGGTTACATCATGAATCTTACAGTGCTGGCATTTGCACACTGTAGCTATGCGCATCTGGCTATAGAAGCTTCATGGATCTCCAGAATTTTCGCACGGTTAAAATGCCTTTTCATATGTACCGTTTTTGGGTGCATTGCATATACAATGTGTCCATATTCACTATCACAGACAGACTATCATAGACAAAAATCTACTCCAAAATCGATTAGCCATCCAAATCACCCCAGGAGTGAATGTGAAGGATATGCAACACTTGCTACAAGTGTTGGGGCTCATATGGATAGGTGCCTGTATGGGTTTACCGTAACAGATGCCTGTAAAAATCTGAATTTTTTTTCCAAGAAGGCTGCACGGATAATGCATGGGGGCCAGCTAACAATGTCCCAGCAAACTTTGTTATGTCCGCAGACATGAATTCAACTGAGCAAAAACAATGAAAGGACACAACGACCCAAATCTTACCACGGACATTAACAGGGAAGGAACATGACTTGGAATTTCCAGCAGAGTCAGTGGCGGAACAGGTGACATTCCGTTGGCCGATTGGAAACTCCGACCCAGGGGGATCCATGCAGTTGACCTGTATGTTTGTATCCACATTATCGGTCCCTTCCGGTAAAACGTAGTCGACAGTGGCATACGACTGACCCGAATCAACCGTTTCATCTGGCATGGGCAGGGGACATTCAAACTCTGGGGCCTCCTCATCTGTAAACAAATGAGGAAAGAACCAGAAGAAATTGGTCGCCTTCCGTCTCTGCAAAAAGGTTTGCCTCTACACAAAGACATCAAGCACTGCATTTTGAATTCTGTTCTGCCTAAGAAGCTCTTCAGTTTTGCATGAACATGTTCACAATGCCGTCTTTCTAATTTTAATTAACCTTTATACCTGAAGGTCAAGAACAACACAGATAGGAGACGGCTTACTCTTTCCAAATATTACAAAACCCTGAAAATTGACCTCCGCTTCAATGTGACTTTGAACCCTCAAAATAAGAAAGATCGAGACGCGACTTTACTCTCATTTTGTCTGAACAGGTCATAATTGATTTTTACCATCTCTCTAGAAGCATGTGGGTTTCTTTTTTGACCGGGAAACACATGACGGAGAAGTAATGATACACGAAACAAAAGAGGTGCAGCAACAAATTACAAAAATAAAGAAACTCAAACGTTTACCTTTCACTACTCTGTTGAATGGGCACGTCTTTATGTTGCCTGAGGAATCCTGGGCTGAACATGTGACCACGTGTTCTCCAATACCGAGCGGTGTGCCGGGCTTTGGGGAACAGGTTACCTTTACACTACCGTCCACATTATCAGTAGCTTTGGGTGTGGTGTAAGTCAGTGAATAAGTGGGTGCACCCTTGTTGGTAGGAACATCCATATCAATTGGACAATCAAACTCCGGCTTCTCCTTGTCTACACAAACCAAGTAGGAAACAAAAGAGCTTTTCGCACATTGCGTACACAAACCAAAGGCATTCTGCCATGTTATTCATCTAATATAGATGTTACAGAGGCTAATGTGTCCACATTGGAACAAGAAACACTAAAATGGAGCTGGACAGGGTTTTTGAATTCTTCAATGGTGTTTTGGTAACCAGAATTTTCTTCTTGACCATTAGCAGACAGTGCTGTTCTGCATCACAACTGTCCAGGGCGTGGTGTGATTTTCACCCAAAATAGCAGCTTTTTAGAATAAGATACCACAACCATAGTCCTTAAAATGTTGGATGTCACAAATGTGGACCCTTGGTGGTCATCTGTTAAAGATTTGTCCTGTGTTTATTTTTCAAAAGCTCTGAGAATATGCCGCAGAGCAGTACCTGCTACAACACAAACACAGAGATGCTCAAGCTTCCATGGACTACCGTAAGCGTCTGCAGGTGCATAAACTTATAGGACTTCACCCCAGTATGAGGACAAGTAGCCAGACATCAAGTGGTACCAATTCCAGAATTCACAAGACTTCACTGAAACATCCTCTGTGTTATGACACAGGGAATCCCTGCATTATGACCCACCATCAAGTATGGTTGAGCAAGCCTTGCAAATGTCAAAAAAGGAAACCCCAAACCCAGATAGGAATCTTATCCAGCACATGTATCGTTGTAGCTCTTCATCTATTTCGTGAATATTTCTGGAAAACGCTGGTCATGTTTTTCTTCATAATAATTGTTGTCTTATTATACCTGCATTATACAAATGAGACTTATTAACCCTCCTTTTGCTGTAACCGTCAAAAAAGTAAAAAAATGCTTCCACTTGATTTCCCCCAGTACACAGACACATATGGGAAATTTGACTTGATTTGACTGATAGGACAACTGTGTCAAGAATATGTCTTTGCATAGGAGGGTTAATCACATTGATATCCTGATATTTTAGGCAATTTCAAAAACTCTAATATGTATGAAGTACGGTTGCATTTTGTTTTCTTATTTGGTATTAACTCACCTGCAAAAGTAGAGCTTAAAATTTCAGTTAAGTGTAATGATTTTTTTCCTCAACATACAGCATCACCCTAAAGCACAGTCCTTTCTTGAATGGGCGCTTTAGAAGTCTTATCTATTATTAAGGGAATCAAGATGTGCTTGGCTGGTCTTAAATGTGAGTTTAAGACTGGCTCAGGAGATTGGACATGACTAATTGTGGCCAAGCATATGTTCCCATTCATATAGCTTTTAATCAGCGAGTCAAATCAAGTCAATTTATGATGGATTTCCAACAATTTTGTTCCAGAATTTTACTTATATTTTTCCCGTCACCCCATCCAATTTATGGTATATCCCTTGCGCAAGAATCTCCTTATCTAGACTTGGAGCTCGTGTGCCAAGCAGAATGCACAGAGACTCTTGACCAATCAGAATCAATGAAACCCTATGGTAGCCAGGTGCCAGCATGTGATTAATGCAGTGGGCATTATCACTTCTCAGCGGGTATTATCAAATGTTAATACATGGTCAAGCTGCACGCTATTGACTAGGGAGAGTGTCTGGGGTATTTATGAATACTTGTTGAGGCTTCTTTACACTTTAGGCAAACAGAAAACCAAGGGAATTCAATGTCACGAAACCTGTGCATCGAAATTTGCTGGAGTTGAAACGTGTTGGACTTTTGTGAATCCTCACTTATTCAACCTGATGCAAGAAATATCCCATTTGTGTTTGCATTTGAGCCAAGTACAGTGCATTTATTTAGCACGAATCGACCACTGAATTTGTCGAGACAACATCTTACCCTTAACTTCCACGGAGAAACTACAGTCGGCCGAATTGCCCGCCTTGTCGGTAGCAGTACAAACCACGTCAACTTCTCCAACGGAGAACGTAGAGCCTGAGACTTTTGTGCAAACCACTTGTACATCAGCATCGACATTGTCAGACACCTCCAGCACAGAGTAGTTGACTGTAGCGGAAGCCTGCCCAACATTGGTGCTTAGGTTGTTCATATCTTCTGGACATTTTAACTTTGGATCTTCCTTGTCTAAAAGCAAACCAGCACAATCCACACATTAAAAAATTAAACCAGTGTAACTTTCTTTGGGCCCTCAGTAGACACGAAAAATAAATGGAGTGAGACGCCAGGAAAAAAGATAGAATGCCAACAAAAGTTACTTAACAGAGGGCTCCCTCCCAAGTCAAGAGATAGTGGGGAGTTACAACAAAAGAGACTTTTGGTGGAGGCAAAAATACATGTCCTTTTTTGCTCTTTGAATCATCTACGAGCTTACATCTTCAAGTTCAAAACAATAATACACTAGTCATGTGATGTAAGACTTGTGGGATTACCACCACCAATTGTCCCTCAAGTGCTTCACTGATCTGCCAATGAGAGATTGCAGATTGACCTCAAAAAGTGGATATCCACATCACCCACTTCCTCTTTTTTTTTTTACTGTGATTAAATAAAAGAAAAAACCCCAAAAGACCTATTATTTTATTTAGCAAAGTATTTACAAACTAGGGGCCAGGAGACACTTGGGAATTGTTCAGTTTTAGCGTAGAAAGAAAACCCTGGATATTTTTCTAGGAAATACCCACTGAATCAGGAGGAGACTTTTGAACAAACACATGCAGTGAGGTCTATATCATCAGATAATAAGTACTGAATGGACAAAGTCTGTATTCAGCTGTCACCTTTAAAGAAAGGATACAGATCCCGCTGTGACAGTCACTGGCCTCTTGTGGATCCAAGATGGGAGGGGGCCCTCCCATTTGTTTTGTCTATTTCATTTACTTTCCTTCCAAAGGCATGCCAAAAAAGGCCAAAAAATGTAGCCCCAGCCTTCAAGAAGGTCATGAAAGGTTACTTAAAACTTCCCAATTTTTCTGCTCTTAGGGCAATAGTTTTTTAAAGTTGATGCTTGGATCTGCTGACCTTCCGGATTCAGAATTGAAAAAGAAAATTCATTTTGCGAAGTCTCAGATCTGCCGACCAACAATTTACACATAAAAGTGTTTAGAAAAACATTTTTGGATATGCTATCTGACTGACAGCGAAGGCCCCGGTCCTAAGCTGCTACTGGTAAGGGATACCACTTTTTTCCCTTGTGTTTGAAAATGGTTTTTAGAAATTAATTTGGGGGTATTCTCTTTACTGAAATGTTCAAATTTTTTTAGACATCCAGACATACGATATGAGGGATTAACCACTTGCTGCCGGGGAACCCTCTTTCGAGCACGATGGTTTTATATGCAGAGCTGGGGTGCTCAAAATGGGACAAAAGAGCTGGTCCGTGTAACAAAAGACCCTACTCGGAACAAAAAACCTGCTGCTGGGAATTGCCAGCATTTTTCGTCTTGCATTTCTCGAAGGTAATCCATCACTGTTTTTGAACAGTATTTCACTGTTTTGGGCATAGCACACAGCGGATTATCACTGTGGACAAAAGTGCTCCAGGGCCCCATTGCTGAGCAAGACAGCACCGCTACATGATAATCCAGCCGCGTTTGAAAAGATGCCACTCGCATTCACTGGGGACAAAGGAAATGACACAACACCTCACAATTCTGGGTTCTCTTTGCAAGGCAGCAGGCCTGGCTGAAATATTAAGGAGTCAGTGAAGGTTATCTGTCAGCTTAGAGTAGCCATCAAACAGTCATACGTGAGGGTGTAAACATGAAATGATGAATTTTTAAGAATTTTAAAAACTGAAAATCTTTTTTTCGCTCTCAATAGTGGAGATAATCCAGCCTTGTTTTGAAACAGTGTACCACGGTTTGAAGCATTTAGAGCGAGCGGATTACCACGGGGACAAAAGCTCTCAACCACCGCAGCGATGAGCCACACAGCACCGCTGCACGCTAATCTGGCCCCTATTGAAAAGAGGTCAGCAGTGCACTGTGCTGGTTTCCCGAACAAAAGAATCTCATGTAACACCGCACAATCTGTGCTCTTTTTCCAAGGCTGCAGGCCTGGTTGAAATATTCAGGAGTCAATGAATTTTACCTGTCAGCTTTAGAGTAGTGCCCAAAGAGTCCTTAATTTTGGTATAAATGGCCATTAAATGAAATGATGAATTTGTGAAGAATTTTGAAAATGGAAAATCTTGAAAAATGACCTGGCATCTTGTCTTGCTCAAGAAAAATCCACCCGGCAGCAAGTAGCTAAAAGCACCTGGTAGCACATGGTTAAGGAAGAAAAAAAATCTAACAGCAGCTTCAATGTTGGTTAACTCTCAACTTAAAATCCGACTCAAACTCTGGGATATTTTACCTTCAACAGTGATAGTAAATGGGCAGGTCCTGGTGTTGCCAGCTGAATCAGTGGCCGAGCATGTGACAGTAGTTTTGCTAACATCAAATGCTGTGCCTGATCCTGGAGTGCAGGTAACCAGGACACTTTCACCTGAATTGTCCAGTGCCGTCGGAACTGTGTAGGTAATGTTGGCTGTTGACTGGCCAGCGTCCGTAGATTTCGTCATGGACATGGGGCACTTGAAATTAGGTTCTTCGTCATCTGAGCCAAACCACAGAAAAAAAAGGCCATAGAAAAACCATGACACAAGCTCTTCATAAAAAACGAGCCATGGAAAAGAACATTTTCTGAGTAATTCGTTCAGTTTGGATGTCAACTACACTTCAGCAGAAATGTGACGTGGGAATAAAGCACTTAAAGGGACGTTGGTCAAGTGGACTTTGGTAATAACGGGACCATGGCAAACACAAGTTTGTAACCTCAGCACAAAGGCCAAACAAACACCGTAGAGTTCCATCAGTTCCAACAGTGTGAATAGCTACTTAGGATATGAATGTTTGCCCAAAGGTATGTTTCCATACACATGTATGTCTTCAGTGTGTCTCATGTCTGTACACTTGAGTTACGGCAAATGCCTGGCAAAATTGTCAGGAGTGGCATAAAACTATTGGACATGCACGTGGAAAGAACCAACAAAACTTCACGAGGAAACATACCGTGACACTCTTTTGGCTTGATATTTCTTGCCTTCATTGGGGTTCAATTAATTCATTAATCAAACCAGGATGTGATGAAAACAATAGCTTTAGTGATCCATTCCTTACAATAACAGAAAGTAATGTATTCGAATTGGCTCTGCGCATAGCGTAACAACCACATGCGATATGTAACTTTGTGATGTAACTGACAAACATGATGCTTCTGGTTCTTAAAAAAGGCATGACACCTGTAAGTTTTAAAAAACAGCTGTGCTAAACTTCTTACCCTTCACTTCAATGGAGAACTTGCAGTTCTTTGTGTTTTTGGATTTGTCAGTGGCAATACAAGAAACGTTTGTCTTTCCTATAGTAAACTTGGAGCCTGACTCTTGGGCACAGTAGGCAACGATGTCAGAGTCCACATTGTCAGTGACTTTGGGGAGAGTGTAGTCCACAGTGGCGTATGGCTGACCAGCATCAGTGGGTATGTCAGTCATAGGCAGCGGGCACTCAAATTCTGGATCCTCTTCGTCTGTATTCGAGATGAGGGTAAAATGCTAAGGGAAGGGTATCAGTGCATTAGCCCCCTAGGTAGACAGCCTGACGTCTCATGTAGACCACATACCAAATGGGTTAACCCTCTCAATATATTTTGCTTCCCCCCCTTTAGATGTTTGGTACTGTACTGCATCCAATTAGATAAACCATGGAGGAAGGACACAGGAGTTAAAAATCTGGCAATTCAATGTGCTCAAAGATTTTCGCTGCCCAGTAAAAAGAATAGAAAACAACCCCCACAATGCCCGGTCACTTCCTGCAGCTTTGCCAGATAAATGGTGTCAGTAATATCCTTGCGATACTTGTGGTGTTTTTGTTCATAATCATCTACAATTTTTCACTGTGACCAGGAAATAGAGACGGAAAAATCCTAACGTTAGACCTACTTTTGCCATTGTGAATAAACTTTACAATATTGATGCACTGTTCTATTAACCGTGAAATGTTTGTAATTTAATTTTTGTCCTTCCAAAACATCAGTTTGAAAGGCAGGGTCTGAATTTGGCTGAGACTGGCCAACATATTGACCACTACTGGAAAGCTACATGCAAGTTCATTATGAATGAAATGCACTATTTCATCACAAGGAGTGATCATGAGATCTCATAAAATACACCTTTGAATAAATGCTGTAAGAAAAATGAATTAAGCACAAAATCTTATAAACAAGTTGGTTATGTATTCCCAAAATAAGTCCAGAAGAAAACATTTGAGAAGGGCAGTAACTGCACATGAACATTAAATTTGACATTGTTGTGAAATCATATCAGGCACCAACAAAGACATGAATATGCAATTTCCTTAATTTCAGTACACATACTTTCAATGATGCAGATTACAAGTGCAAATTGTGGCAGTGATCATAGGATACAAAGGGGTCTCAGGGTTGCAAAACAGAGGTGCGTAGCAAGTGCTAGCTGTGCTCTGGCTATGGAGATATCACACATGCCAGAAAGTGGTCATTGGCCAAATGTTATAGCCCAGGCAGTTCAAACTCTTGAGTCCTTCCTGCGTGGATAAGCCGTGATGTTATCAACCCTGATAAGTTGCTTTTAAAAAGCTAGATTTTAGTGCAACCAATTTTCAATGAGTGGGCATCTGCATGACCACAATTTTAGTTTACTTATAGAGAGTCACGGTTGTAAATCAACATTTTTCGTGACATTTTTATTTTAATGAATTGGCAAATTAGTCTTTCTGAAGCCAGGAAGGTTTTGTTAACATGGAGCAACTGAGCACATTACTATGTTGCCCTCCAAGCCCAATAGGGTACCAGTCCATTGCGGGCCACTAGTACCTCTTTACATTTCTGGTGTGGAGCAAGGTCAGGGTAAATTGATTTGCCAAAGGCCACAAATTATGACACCCAGCTGGATTTCAACCCCCGACTCTCTGATCGTGGGTCACCAACTCTCACCACTAGGCCATATTCACCTCTTTTATTCTAAATAGCAGTTTCCCGTATTATGGAATTTCAGAAGTGCACCTCCCAGGAAAAAAAAAATTGGTAAATAGCCTAAAGGCTGTTTCATTTACCAAGTTGGTGAAGCCTAACACAGAAAGTAATTTTTTTTCACCTGTGACTGTAATGTTGAATGCACATTTCTTCTGGTTGCCAGCGTTATCGACGGCAGAGCACATGACAACGGTCAGTCCAACTCCCAGTGCTGTGCCCGATGATGGATTACAGGTCACTGGCACCTCCTTATCCACATTATCAATAGCAGTCAGTACAGGGTACGTCACTAAAGCAGTTGGTGCACCCTTATCCGTGGGCTCGGACATAGGAAGTGGACAATCAAACACCGGCTCTTCGTCATCTAAATTGAAAATTTCACCGACAGCATTTCTAAAAAACTCAAACACTACCCACTTTAAAATGTCACAGTAAAATCGCTATAACTCGAACTCCACAGTAACAGATGAAACAATTTGAGTATATTGAATTTTGAGCCAATGAAAATTCCAGGAAATCATAAATACACACAGAGCTGCTGTGCAGTCTATTGGGAATGAAAGTGGCAATGCTTTGACCATTATTTTCTGTCTAGTAGTGCACAGTTTGCTCAGAAATCATCGCTTTACTGATATTTTAAAATTCTTTTGAACTGATAAACGACAAAGCTTGAAAACATTGTGCCTTCTTAAGACCTTCTTAAGCTTGTGGCAAGGCTGTTGTGCCATTTGGTCTATCATGTGAACAGAGCGATGTGCGGTGCACACTCAGGATTTGTTTTCATTTGAGTGATCACACAACCTCTCCTGTTGCTGTTACACGGGGACTGCAGAGTCAGTGATTGGACTGGCTATGTACGTGGTGCAACTGGGTCCACAGTGGCCATCAGGGTAGCCAGAAAGCCACGTCTTGTTGCGGTTTGGGAACTTCACTTAGTTCACGGACTAGTTGTAATCCCTAGCAACCAACCAGAGCTGAGCTCCAATGGCTTATTTACAAGGTATCACAATGGTTAATCGTTGTGCTAATTTTCCCTGATATCTGCAGGTGCCACCGCGAGTTTGCAAAGTTTGGTGGTGGACGTGGAGTTCGTGTACCTAAATGAGTCACACAAAGTTCGCCTGCGCGCCAATCCAACCCTCTCAGCTCAGGCCTATTTTCTGAAGAAAGTTGACCTGGTTACTGGTTGGCTTCTGCAGCACGCATACACATACTGTCCATCCAATGTGACAAGAGGATGTGTGCTTTGTAGTACTCACTCATAATCCAAGTCTTACGTTCCTTTATACGCTTTTTGAAGAGTTTCGGCAGCAGTTACTTTGCATCAGTGATAGCAACACTGTGGATTTGATGGTGTGGGCATTTCGAGTTACAGAAGTATTTTTGCTCATTAGCAAAATGACTCATAAGTAAAATTTCCAAAATTTTGGAGAAATTCTAGTTTTGAATATGAGTTTTTCTCCTCAGAAAGTATCTCTGATTCATGTTTGCATAGTTCCAATGCGGAAATCAAACCCAGATTAAAATAAATTTTTCAAAGACTTAGTGTTGGCCCATATCCTTCATCAGACGAAAACCCACCTATAACATCAACACGGAAAGTGCATGTCTTGGAGTTGCCGTACTTGTCCAAAGCAGTGCATGAAACAACTGTCTCGCCAAGTGGGAACGTGGAGCCAGATGTTTTGTTGCAGGAAACATTGGGGCTAGGGTCAGCGTTGTCTGTGGCAACTTGTAGAGTGTATGAAACTGTGGCGTAGGATTGGCCCGCATCAACTGAAACATCGCTCATGGTGATTGGACAGTTGAACACGGGTTCTTCCTTATCTGATACAGCAAAAGACATACAAGGCATCTAGAACTCGCCATGGTGATCCGAAAGGCATAATCTAAAAGATCAATTCAGACAAATTTATTGCAATTAAATCCACTTTGATCAAGCAAACTACCCTCCAAAGTCCCTTTTTCTGAACAACATAAATCAGCAATCCCCTGAACCAACCATCCTCAATGGACATGTGACACGTAATTCTGACCTGATCCATTAGACATCTATCTCACAAAATTGAAAAACTAAGTTAATTTCTCTCCTCTCATCGTTATTTCTTCCTTTCCATCACTGAATTTTTTTGTAATCTAATATTCGGAGAGTCAAGTTGGCAGAGCAGTTCTTTCATCTCTGCGGTCCAGGTTTGATTCTTCGCTCGATCCACATGTGGATCGGGTTTTCAGTCCCTACCTAATTCTGTGGGCCTTACCCAGAATATTCCTCTGGGGTTTTCCTTCCACCGCTAAAACTAACTGCTAGTGTCTCCTTTCTGTAGATATAGGTGGATGTGGGTTGTTTGGAGACTGCCCAAGGCACTCTTGTATGCCATCGGCTCAAACACATTTAATGTCTTCATTGCACAGCACATTTGAACATATCTGTTTGAAATTTGTGCCTTTATCCATGAAAAAATCATCAATTAGTACTATTATTATTATTATCAAGATTAAAATAAGGACACAAAACACAAAAACTACACAAGATTAAAAAAGCTAAGTCCAACGCAACAAATTCTAATCCCTTGCTGTATTTACCTGTGACTTCATATTCAAACGTGCAAGTGTTACTGTTGTCCGCATTGTCCTTGGCTATGCACGTAATTGTATGTGATCCGACACCCAATTCAGAATTGGGCATTTTATCACATTCAACTGTTGGCTTGGGGTCAGCGTTGTCTTCCCCTCTGGGCAGATCATACTCAATAGTGGCATATGACATCTTCGGATCAGTAGAGTCTTGCTGTTTCCCTGGACAAGAGATCCCTGGTTTTTGCCGATCTGGAGGGTCAAATGACTTCAAATGAGCCTGAGAAAAACCTCCGCTTGCTCAACAAATACACAGCTTGAGAATCAACGCCCAAAATGATATCACTCTGACAAACAGACACACACACAGACCCCCACGTGCTTTATGTACTTAGAACGCACATTCCTTTGTTCTACTTTGGTTAAGATATATACTCCTTTTTCTCTCACTGAGAAAACTCCTTCAAGCTGGATTTTTGATGATGATTTCCTGGACTGTTCCTCTTCATTTTGCCATGATCACCCTGACCCCAAAATGCCTCTGAAACCAATTTTCAGAGACAGGAAAACATTGTGTGGACATGTGCAAGTCCACACAATGCCACCGTACCCTGCATTATGTGGACATCTTTTGTGCAGAGGTCCACACTATGTATGACGTGCTTGTGCACCCACACACAAAAGAAATTCCCGTGTGATTCTCGATACTTCCCCTCTGGTTTGCGGGTAATGGTTATTACACAACGTGCTATGACATATTTGTAAACTGAGACTAGTCAATACGATGTCTGTCAACAACAGAAGAATAATTTTTGAACATCAAACATTTTAGGATCCAACTAAATTAAAATCAAGCGATTGATATGCTCTTTTTTGGGGGAGGGGGAAATTACGGGTTGACAACCACATCTTTTTGTCTACAAATAATCAGAAAAAATAAATGTGCAGCCTTTTTCTAAACCTAGTCACTTATGCTTTTTATTCGTCATGAAAATCATAACTCTGTAGCCCTTCAATTGGTTAAATGTCTCCTTCAAAATGCACCACTGTACCTGTTCCCCCCCCAAAAAAAACCCAAATGCACTTATGTCATGTTCCTGTGTGCAGATGTAGGACATGAATCATGCCTGCTACTGGCAATACACAGTAGAGCAAGACTTAATGACTCCGTATAGAGAGGATTTCCAGTCACCTGATTTTTGACGCGTGTTCAATTTACTTAGATGTGCACGGCAATGCATGCACATTCTAAGTCTCTCAAGATTCTGGTGTACATGAAAGTACCAACAGATATACACACATTAAAAAATCCACGCACTCCCGCGGACATGGTACACTTCCTGAAATGCTTTTGCCTGTCATAATACATCACATGAAAAACCCCTATTGCTTAAAATTCAATCTCATTTGGGCCCCACAGACTTTCCAAAACTTGATGAAAGAAACCTCTCCAAAATCTGTCTTTGTAGCCAAACACTCGGCCGGGCTCTACCAGAATTTTCAAGCACCTCTTACGAGTCAAAGTCAAGGTCCTCTCCATACGCGGATACCATTGCAGTTTAAAGTTTGCATTGCCAATGGCATTTCAAGAGGGAGAAGTTTGCCACCTGTACTGTTGATAGACTGAGCAGATAACATTGTATTACCTGCTCCAAAGGTGAACAATGAAATCTCGGTTTCAGAGGGGACCAGATTATTAAAAGAGAAATTTCCCTCGTGCTTACTTCCAGGCAAGAAAATAAAAACCTCAAGAGTAAAAGGTACCTCACGCATCAAAGGTTAATTATACACTGTACCTTCGATCTCAATGATGAAGGTGCAGTTCTGCTTGTTGTGAGATGCATCAGTGGCGGTGCACACCACAACATTTTCTCCAGCGTTAAATTTCGAGCCAGAATCCGGGGTGCAGGCGACTTGTGGATCCTTGTCCCAGTTGTCAACGGCCTCAGGGATATCAAAGGATATGGTACCCACCGACTGGTCCTCATCCATGCCCTCTGTCATCCGTACTGGACAAGTTAGGTCAGGAGGTTCAGAATCTGTGAAGGATACAGTACGAAGGCATTCTTGAGGAATTCTGTGAGCCACAGTCAAAGACGACCACAACCCCAAGAGAGCCAACTCTGTTGTCTGTGAAGACTATGTGTAATTGTTTTTTTTTTTATAAAAAATGTATTTATTAAAAAAAAAAGAACAAATTACAGATTTTTTCACTGCAATGAATCCCTTGATAACTGTCCATGCATTGCAATACACTTGAATGTGTAAGTGATTTGATTCTTTCCATTTCTGAAGACATAAAAGCTGATCAGACACATTCAGAATATTCCGTTTTAATTATCTCATTCCAAAAAAAAGAAGAAAACAATAACCAAAAGGTCTACCAATACAAGTAAAATGTGCTTCATGACAAACAGACCAATGTAGAGGTAATGTGCACCCGTACTTGGTGAATGCACAAGCACTGTGATTGGTCCAATGTAATTATGCACTTTGCGTTTATGGCAGAGGCCAAAAGATAAAGTGAACCTAAAGCACCTCTAATATGGGCATCTGAATTTGATTTGGTGATTGAAATCAATTTTTTTTGGATTAAACCGTCAGTCTTACATAAGTACAAATAATATTGGATGGCTTGAAACCCTGCGAGTGGCCACGCCCACAAAATTACATGGAGTAGCCACACGGATAAAAAAAATCCAGGTCATTTTCGGGTCATGTCTGTAGCTCAGTGCACCAATGATAAACCTGTCCGACTGTTTATGGTTGCTAACACACCCATGAGCTCCACTCTTTATCTACAATTTATTTGCTGCTGTGAAAGCACAGTTATACTAGTCACAACCCAAACAGCCGTGACCTGTTGGCACATGTCTCTCAACAAAGAGATCCACTTACTGCTGGAGGGGGGGGCATATGGCACCCCTGGGAATACTGGTCTTTCAACAGGCCATAATCTGCAGTGGTAATAGTCTTGAAGCACATTAGTTGCGTGAGGATTACAAAAATTTTGAGTTTAATTCAACAAAAAGTAAAAAAGTTATTCAAAACACTGGGATGCATTTGCTGTCCGGTGCCGTTGACCTGAGGGTGAATTTACAGGGAATTTACACATATACAGTTGAAATTAGATCACGGGTCCCCCACAAAGAGCTGGGTATGACGAGCACAGGGTCCTATTTCCTGGGCCCAAAGGCCAACTTTTTATGGCACACATCTTCCCAAAATGTAAAACAAGAAAAATAACTTGAGGTGTTTCCATTCAACCAAACTTAAAGAAATGCTTTCAGTTCCCCTGGATTCACTTTTGCAGTTGCTGTTTACTGTCTTGCCACATGATGCCGCTACAACTGGTCAGAAATCTCCAGTGCAGTGCCCAACTGGGGAATATACTGTGGACGTTAAGTGAGGGTGGCACGTGGCCAGTTCAAGCAATGCAAAATTGAGGTACCGGCCTGTATCAGTGAACGACACAAGACCATTTTTAGCCGACCAGGAAAAAGAACCAGCTAGAGGTGTGTTACAACAGAGTTCACCGCACCGGAACAAAACTGGACTCAGTGTCGACTGGTAGAATATTGTTAGAGATCAATATATGCAATACATGTATAATCTCTTATCCCCCTCAAAGCCATGCAATATTTTATAATTATCCTTCACTCCTATTTTACGCCTGTGAATGCAAGCAGCGTGTTGTGCCCTCCAAACACTAACCTTTGACGACCACAGAGAAGGTGCACTCGTTGGTGTTCCCTGCACCATCTGTGGCAGTACAAGTCACCTCCGTGGAACCGATTGTAAAGTCCGAGCCGGACTTAGGATCACAGTCCACAATTGGAGGTTCATCACTGTTGTCCGTTACATCTGGTGAATCATACTCCACTGCAGTTTTTGTCGAGCCTTGGTCGGCTGACTCGGGCGGGGGAGGATGGCAAGTGATTGTTGGCCCCTCATTATCTAAGAAGTACCGAAAATCGTTCATCATTGAGTTACAATGCAATGAAGAGCTGAAAAGTTTCTGGGATCAAGAACTACACCAACTTTTGATGGCACTAAGTTCCAAGCCAAATATAACAACTGCACCTCACAATTCTAATACTTTCAGTGCTGAATAAATACAATTTAAATGAATCTCTCAAATACATGCTTTAGTGAACCACTTTTCAAGTTTATGGGGTGTCAGGTATTTGCTATTAAAGTGTAGTTGTGGTTTCTTCTTAAATGTAGGGAAGCCTGTTTACATCGCTATTTGGCTGAATGCACTTAAAAGTGCACTCTTTGAAATAAATATCATCCATACTTTTCCCTGGTCAACTGAGGGCGCTGTCGCTGTGATGTCATCTGAGGAAGACAAAGTTCTGTGTGTAGGTTTTTCTATTTAAATTTTGAACCATAAATTTACCAACTGCCAATATATCCAAGAAAGGCTACTTGCTTGCTTATTGACAATGAATCGTCAAAAATGAGAAAATTTCATCCAGCAATTTATAGAAATACAGTTCTTTGTCAGCGAACACATGTGGGATTGGAGGCTTTCGTCCAGTTTTGCTCATGAGTTGAAAGTACTCATCTGCACAAGAACTAAAATGACAGACAACCACCCTTTGAAAGACAGAAATTAAAAGGGAGATTCACTTTATGATTTTGAATAAAAAATTCCATTTCAGCTGCCCTTGATGGTTTTGACATTAGAAAGGGACAAGTCAACTGCAGCAGAACGTTTGGATAATGCCCTTGGATCTTTACATACCTTCCACTGTGATGGTTAAGGAGCAATCTCCCACGTTGCCGGCATCATCGGTGGCAGTGCACAACACTGGGGTCTCTCCGATGTCAAACTGATCTCCTGAACTGGGCTCGCAATTGACGTCTGGCTCGGAGTCTGTGTTGTCGCGCACTTTGGGCAGCAAAAATTCAACTGTGGCATAAGACTGCCCCTCGTCTACCGGTTCAGTCATGACAATCGGACACTCCAATTCTGGGGCCTCCTTATCTGAAGCACAAAGTCGACAATAGGAAATGAGAGATAGTAGATTGTTGACAACACCACATTCAGTAATAAATAAAAAAAAAAGAATAAAAACTGAAGAGCGGGATGTAATTATACTGACAATATAATTTCAATATAATTTCAATATAATTCCAATGATTTTAATATTGGCACCCATTAGATGCTTGTCACCCCTGAACAAAAATAAAGGACAAATGGGAAGAGCCACCAACATAGCGCTGGAAGATTAGTTTGTAGAGCACCTGTACGATATTCTGGAGGTCGGAAATTCAAATCCCGCTCCAGTCAATTTCTTTGTTCATCCTTATAATGACAAAAATCGTTGGATTTCTCCATGGTCGTTGATGTTATGTTGTTTTTAGGCCACATTGCACAAGTTCAAACAATGCAAGGCAACTGAGCATTAACACACTCTTTGTAAACTACTGTACACTCTGAATTGGGCTGACTTAATAAATGGTCCAACAGGATCAACGTGTACTGGTGAGACAGCAGTGATCTTTCATGCACACAACGTAACTCTTCAATCCAATCGTGCATGCCGCCCATGCACCCCAATGGTCGGTTTGCATCTCCTCCAGCTAGACCTATCGTTCTCCCCCCCCCCGACAGACCCAGCATCAGACCTGGCAATAGATTTTATAATAGTCTCATCCCATATTTGACCAGATGAAGCAGTCAAAGTTTGATCTTTCTTTGGCCGCAGCCTGTATAAAGACACGATTTATAAATTGATATCACTACGCATATAAATTTAATATAATTTGCATAATATGTCAACTTCCTTTTTTTGTATATTTTATTCTTAGGTGCAATTGTCTTGTCTTCTATTTATGGCCCCTTTTGATACTTCATAGTCATTTTGTATGTGTCTTGTGCAATCTGTACTTTTAACATATTCAATTTTTATCTGTTATGTAACCACTTCATAATTCAACCTTCGAGGTGCAAATAAACCAGAATAATAATAATTATAAATATCAGACGACTTTTTATGGGTGTTTTAAAACAAGGTTCCTTAAGAATTTCTTTACATTCTCATCTGAAGTTAACAGAAGATCCTGAAATTTCCAGAACAGACTTGAACTGTTACGTTGGGGACAACATCCATTAATTTAAGAAAGAACTTTTGGAATTCATATGGGGACTAGTTCTGGACTTCCTTGGCATATTTATCACATCCAGCAATAAAGCAGCACTGGACTATTTGTACATGCCAGTTACTCCCTCAGAACCTCTGCCATGTTTTCCTGTTACTTCAAAGCAACAGCATTTCAGAAAAAAGTTTGCAGCACATACAGGCTCGTCAAAATTGTGACATATACAAACACAAATTACGCATGTAAAAGAAGAGTTACTTTACATGACCAACATCACCAAGGGAAAGATTTGAGTGAACAAATTACGCATGTAAAAGAAGAGTTATTTTACATGACCAACATCACCAGGGGTAAGATTTGAGTGAACAAATTACGCAGGTAAAAGAAGAGTTACTTTACATGACCAACATCACCAGGGGTAAGATTTGAGTGAACAAATTTCGCAGGTAAAAGAAGAGTTATTTTACATGACCAACATCACCAGGGGTGAGATTTGAGTGTACAGGAAAACTAAGGAAAGCTGTCTTCTTAAGTGCATCTCTCGATCCTTCATTTCAACAAAACATTGTGCACATGTACCCACAGTATTCTTGCTCTTTTGTTTTTTGACTAACTTCAAATAATATCCATTTTCCTTTTTCACTGACTGTTTTCTACCTGACTTGAGCCACAAAAGTCTCCTCTGATTTTTTTCTTAAAGCTGTAACCAAGTGGCAGATCTCCACCTCAATCGATGACTTTAACAGCAATAATTTTGATCAAATGAACCACACAGGGCCAAAAAAAAAAAAAAGTACCTCGGAAGTTTTTTGGCTCAGGTACACAACTAGAAGCTATTTGAGGACTTGTCCTTACATTTTAATACCCTACCCCCCACCATGAGCTGTATTCCATTGCATTCCAGCAGGAGTAACAACATAAGAGGGCGAGTTCTATCCAAATCTGAACTTATTCAAGTCCTGCATTAACTTTTATGCAAAATTCAGAAATGAACAGTTTTGGCAAAATCAAATAGAAAAATCCATATATCCATAGTTTTCCAAAAATTTCCGGGAAAAAAAAACAGACAAAGCATCACTGTGAAAATCCGGAGCAATGCCTCAAACTTAGTGTATTACGACCCGTAAACCGAACCGACGAACCAAACCAAACCCAACCCAACCCATCAATCAATCAATCAATGTTTTTTTTTCATACCCTCAACTTCAATTGTGAATGTGCACTCCTTTTCGTTCTCCGAAGAGTCGATGGCGGTGCAGGTAACATTTGTCTTTCCCAACGAAAACTCTGATCCGGGCCCCATGACACATGTGACGCTGGGATTGGCATCAACATTGTCAGTGGCAGACGGGATGCCATAGGGGACGGTCGCAAATGACTTGCCAGGGTCCGTGGGCCTCAGCATATTCTTTGGGCAGGTCAGCTTCGGTTCCTCCTCATCTTGAGTATCAAAATAGAAAGACGAGTTACTTCTCATCTTGGAGCTGAATCTTTATGTCTTTGAAGATGCTAAACAACATCACTTTATCCACCTTCATAACAGTGCAATAACAGCATGATGAACAAAATGAAAACCAAGGTCATCTTGCTTGTGTTGGTTTGCAAAGGTGTCTTGATTTTGAAAAGTATCACCGGACAACTCTGGTTACATCACATGCCACAAAGACTACCCGAGGCCAATTATGAAGACTGCCAAGAATAAACAAGTCAGTCAGCATTGACATATGTTTCGCTCGGCAAAAGCATCTCAAAAATCTAACTAAAATGTCATGTGATGCATACTCTATCATGCCAGTAAACTTCGGCTCAGCAAGTGACATATTAGAAATCTTTTAATCAAAAAGGAATTTTTAAATTTAAAAAAAAAAGAGAAAAATTCACACCTTCGACGACAACATCAAAGCTGCATGGCTTCTTGTTGCCAGCATCGTCTAAGGCTGTGCATCTGACTGTGGTGGTACCAATCGCAAACTCTGTATTTGTGTCTTTGGAGCATGTCACTTCGGGATCAGGATCAGCATTATCAGATGCCGTTACTTCACCATAGTCCACAGTAGCAGTCGGCTTGCCAGTATCGGTTTTAAACGGAGGCATTGGCAATGGGCAAGTAATGTCAGGCTTTTCAATATCTGTGAGAGAAATACCCACCACAAGTTTGCATCAATGTTACACAAACAACATTCCCTCTATATATAAGATAGCAATCACTTTGAAATTTAAGATTTAACTCTAAAAGAGCTGGGGGAGATTTCTCCAATTTTTCTGATAGCGCATTTTTCACGAGCTTATCCTTGAGAAGTTTTTGCAATAACTCTTTGATCCCATTTGACACAAATTTTGTAATATTCTTGTGCAGGGCCCATTTTCCTAGACAGGAGAGCCAAAATCATAAACTTTCTGAAGCTGTGCTGGATGCATGTAGGCTGGTGCACATGTAACCTTCAACTTCGAATAACCCTAATAACAAAACAGCATGTTGGATTGAGTTGGAATTCCACTTTTGATGAGGAGTGTCTTTTCCATTCATAGTAAGTTTTAAAAATTGGGCATGAGATGGTGGAGTTCGTAAGGGGAGGTTGATCTCTCTGGCTGTGAGATTGCCCAACATAGCACTTTCAGGGTTATCAACTATACCAAAAATAAGGCTCGATCAATCTTCACACAAATTTGACTGCAAAGTGAATTCAATGTCACGGAAAGCAGAAAACTGTTTGCCAGTGTAACAGTCAAGCAACTTGGCCTCAAAAGGCATTATTGCCCTCCAGCTTGGTAATGGGCAACATCCTTTACTGTCCATCTGCACCACTTGTTTGTTAACACTCCCATTTGGCAAACTACCGAAACCTCCAAAACTGTTCATCTCTGCTGTTACCCACAACGAGCCGCAAATAACCCCCAAAATACTCCACTTTCTGAAGTACTCCTCATTAACAATGTAAGGGACTAATCACTGATACTTTGTATTTTAAAGATTGTGTTGACTTGCAAATCTTTCCAGCTGTGAGGTAGGGAGGACACTCTTCAAAGTATCCTTGCAAAGTAGTTCTCAACCCAAGTACAGTGTCTACAAGTTACAGCTGGGAAAACTGTCGAACAGATGTGCTACTGCAAACAAAAGGACAGGGCAAATGTAGTATGCCCCCTTAGCTTTTACGAGCGGGCATCGACAATTCGGTTGTCCATACCGACGACTTCGACGCGGAAGGAACAGTTGGCACTGTTGTCGGACCTGTCCGTGAGTGTGCAGAGGACTATGTTCCCTCCAATGCCGAATTCTGAACCTGAAGCTTGGTCACAAGACAGTTTTGGCTCGGGGTCCTCGTTGTCACGTTTGACTAGTATGTTGTAGTCCACAATGGCGTATGCTTTCCCTATATCAGTAGGCAAACCTTCCATGTCATCTGGGCATTTGATCTTTGGGGGTTCCTCATCTGAAGGGAAAATGAAAATGAAGCCACTCCGATTGACAGTTTTATTCTTCGTCTCTTAAACTTGAAATTTCAATTAATATTGAATACACTGTGAAAGTTTTTTGAAAAATCACGTCTCAAGATATTTTACAAGTATGGTACAATACTGCAATTAGCAATATGAAAAAATCTTACAATTTTCAAGTTACAAAATAGTAAATACAGATTTGTTTTGGTTAATAATCGACCACCTTTCCACAAAAAATCCCTCAACTGACAATGTCAATTTCGACCTAGAGCAGCCTTGAACTCCATTTCCTACTTCAATTTCATTCCTCATTCTGATCAATTTGTCAAAGTTGGTGTCGATTTGAGTAAGTGAGAAAAAACCGTCTGTTGCAATTCAATATTGGAAGGTGGTCTTTTTTCCAATGGTTAGTTCTGTTTTTTTTCCAAATTGCTGTGACAATAGACTCACAATATAATGATGCCACGTTTTTTTTACAGGAGAGCTTTCTGAATGAACCATAATAGATCGCACCCCAGCTGAATTTGATAGGAAAGCGCATGTACAAACTGAGTGTTATGTCACTCTGTTTAGCCCCTTGACGACAGGAACTTTTTTCAAAAAGCCGACTCTGAGAATTCCAGCCTCATTTGGCCACGAAGGCCACCTGCCAAACCGCAAATTCTCGGTTTGTGGCCCTGCGTGCTCTGCACGATTTGAATTACACAGTGAAAAGGCTGATTGTTCGGTGGCATGCTGCTCTACTCACGCTTCCACATTCCCGTTGCCTCTTTTCAAAGTGAAGACTATTGTGAAGCTGGTGATTATGATGCAAATTCGGTCTTTTCATTTCTGGGCTACACACAAAGGCCAATCACCATATATATAAGAGCCAGGGTATTTTTTTGAACAGAATGGTGACAGGAACAAAATGAAGGCTCAAAGCAAGAAGAGAATTATACTCTCTAAGAAACAAAATACGCTCATATCTCAAAATGCCACATTGTGCATGAAGTAATACGCTTCCTGTTCCGTCTACACCCATGTGCAAGTTTATCTTCATGCAGACGTACCCTTGACATTGATGGGAAACGAGCATGAGTCTTTGTTGCCATACTTGTCAGTGGCAGTGCATGTGACCGTGTTCTTGCCCGCCCCAAATTGGGAGCCTGGTCCTTCTTTGCAGTCTACCTGCGGGCTGGCGTCTGCGTTATCGGTTGCCTGTGGCGGAGTATACGGTACTGTGGCATATGCTTGGTCGGTATCAGTGGTTCTATCCATGGCATCGGGGCACGTCACTTTGGGCGTTTCTTTGTCTGAAAATGGACAGACACACAAATCAAAGCATCATAAACTTTCCATCATCAGCTTTCGTTGCCACTGCACAAAACTAAACAAGCTAAAAAAAATTCTGCTCAGCAAGTGACATTTTTAAATATCTCTTAAAAAAAAAAAGCAATTTTTGAATAATAATAAAAAAACTGCACACCTTCAACAACAACATCAAAGCTGCATGACCTCTTGTTGCCAGCATCGTCTGAGGCTGTGCATCTGACTGTGGTGGTACCAATCGCAAACTCTTTATTTGTGTCCTTGGTGCATGTCACTTCGGGATCAGGATCAGCATTGTCAGATGCCGTCACTTCACCATAGTCCACAGTAGCAGTCGCCTTGCCAGTATCAGTTTTAAACGGAGGCATTGGCAATGGGCACGTAATGTCAGGCTTTTCAATATCTGTGAGAGAAATACCCACCACAAGTTTGCATCAATGTTAACCACTTCATGCCGGGGCATTTTTCAATGTTGATGATGCTGAGCCGCCGTGACTATCATTTTTTCCGTTTTCAAAATCCTTCAAAAATTCATCATTTCATTTAACAGTCATTTATAGCCACACGAAGTAGTCTCTTGGCACTACTCTAAGT